CCTTGCTACTATGACTCGCTGTGTGGATCGGATTTGTTGGGGCTGGCAATGTTGCAGTTTGCGGTGCTACTCTCGGCGATATGGGGGAAACTTCTTTCACACAACACTACTAGGTTAGAATCCTACGTACTGCATTGTCGCTAGTGCTTAGTGTTGAGGAGACGAGGCTGTGTAGTAATGTACAGGAAATCGAGAGGGGGTATCAAGATTGCATTACTAGAAACAAAATAACAATAACGTCCTATACAATGAATGCGCCCAGTATCTCACTGCAAAGACGAGATTGGAGGACGATAAATCATGGAATTTCGCCCTCTTTCACACTTCTTTAGCGTGATGCTATCATCGTACACATTAGAGCATCTCTCTTAGCGACTTGCCATGCTGGCTCTCCTAGCCTCAAGTACAGCGTCCTCGTGCGTTGGGGGTCCCTCGTAGTTCTTCTTGCCCCAGACGAAATACCAGACAGTTGAGACGACGACGACAGCGGCAAGTACAACAGAAGCGTAGTTCATGGTTGCGGGGGTGACTTCGCGGAAAGTGGGCATGCAGAAGAGAGGAGTGGCAAGGGCGGACCAGGCTGTAGAGATTGTTAGTTTCCACTTGACTGTGGGCGTATACAGTAGAACATACCAAGGGCGACAACATTGCAGAAGGTACCAAGCACTCCGAGATGGAACTCTCCAGTCTTGACTTGCTTGCGTCCGGTAAGGAGCGAGACCAGGATAGGGGCTGCATAGCTCAATGTCAAGCAAATGACACCAACACCAGAGAAGGCATTGAAAGCGGCAGCAGCACCGAAGTAAATAACACCAAGGATGATCTGAATTCCCATGCTGAGCATCATAGCGTTGAGCGGGACGTCAAGCTTGGTGTTGACAGTCCTCCACAGCTTGTAGCCTGGGATAGCACCATCACGAGAGAAGGCCCAGGTAGCACGAGATGCAGCAGTCGTGCATCCGATACCGCAAATCAGCCCTAGGACAAGGAGGGGAACGAGCAGTCCAATAGTTCCACCAGAAGATCCTACTGCACTCTTGATAATGACGGGTACGGGCTGTCCAGAAGCCAAAGCTGCGAGGTCGGCCTGGTTGGGGAGGACGAATACGAGAGGGATGAGGAAGACAAGGCCGCAGATAGTGTTCAATGCAACGGTGGCGACCATGGCCTTGGGGACTTGGGTGGCCGGCTCTCTGACTTCTTCACACATCCTATGTCAACTGTTAGCATTTGACTTGGTTTGGGTGGGAATTACTGCATATAGACAAGGCGAATGTCGCAATGGTATATGGGCTGCAAAGGGGGGTGTCGCATAGGAAGTGTCGCATGGGAAATGTCGCTTGGGAGTGTGCATTGGGCAGAAACAAGCTGTTTCAAGTTGCTTGGGCAGGCAAGGGGAGGCTCACGAGACGATCATTCCGGTCGAGGAGGTTGCGTAGGCAGCATGGAGGAGTCCGACCATGAAAGACCATCCGGGGATCCATCCAGAGTTAGAGGGATCGAATTCAGTAAAGACGTATTCGGCGCTTCGGCGACCATTCTTCGCAATGGCAAGGACGCATATGACAATGGCAATCACACCAGCAAAGGTCCAGAAAATGGCAAAGGTCTGTTCGAGTGTAAGTGATTCATACAGCAAGGAAGTGAAGGGAGCAATCTCACATCGAGCCAGGGCAAGTACTTGTTGCCAAAGGCAGACACGCAGTTGCAGAGGAGGGTGATGGCAAGGAAGATGAGGAAAACTTGGTAGGGCTCGCCCGCCAGTACGCCAACACCTGGAGAGGATTCGTAGACATTGACGCATGCCACGACGAAGAGGGCGGTAGCAAAGTTGACCGAGAGAGTAATGGTAATGTTGCCGACTACGAAACACCAACCACATATCCACGAGGCGATTTTGCGGTAAGCGGGAGGCGTAATCATGAAGGTCTGGTAGTAGACACCACCACTGGTGGGGTAAACACTGGTAATCTCTCCGAGGGAAGCGGCAACGGCGAGGATGATGAGGGACACAGCGAGCCAGCCCCAGATGATGTTGGTAGGGCCGCCACCAACTACAGGATAGTAAAGGGTAGTTGCCAAACCGTAAGGGACGGAGGCCAGAACGAAGGACATGAAGGCGACTTGGGCAGTTGATCTTGAGCGCACCAGTTCGGCCTTGTAGCCCATGGCGGCGAGGAGACCATCTGGATCGCTGGAGCCAGGAACATCGTCTCCAGACCCCGAGTAGGTGTTGCCCAACTTGGAGTCCTTCTCGATGCCATTGGGGCGCAGGGCATGGCCGTGGTCAGCGGCATAGGCATCCGACTGGGTGCCGTAGCGGTAGTCAGACATGGTGGGCGTGTCGCTATCGTCTGTGAAGAGGGAGCCTGGAGTCGGACTAGGCCTGGGAAGTTGTCGCAAAACAAATGTCTGTGGTATGTGCCAGAGTGCGGATCAGCGCAGGCTTTGAAGGCCTGCAGAGGAACGTCAGTGGGCGCATGGTCCAAGGCGACTAGACAGTTTGGAGACAAGTCTTGTCAGGCTACCCACACGAATGTCGGATGGCAAAACTGTGCCGAGCTTGGGATCCAATTGCTGGCGGGACGGGTTCGGATGGGGCTCCCCAGAGGGTCTTGGAAAAACACCGAGCATGTGGAAAGCAGGCCCTAATGCATCCACGCTCCGCGCTCCACTGCCTGGGTAATGAGAGGGCTTCTAGAAGTGGGCCAGAGGTGGCGCTGCTGGGAGCCGATGATGAGCCGGCCGCCTGACGACATGCTTCAAGGAGAGTCCCTGGCGATGGCGAGGGCAATGCAGCGCTGACCAAGGGCTAGCATCAAGGAGAGAGAGGCATTCGCTGATGAACGTGTGGGGAGTGAAGGAGGCATCACAATCAGCATTTCGCAGCGCGCCGTGTCTGAATCGTGGGCCGAACCAATGGCATTTGTCTGAGTGTACCAGTACTATCTCCCAAGAGGGCCATGGGAGCCGCCCGCTTCGGCTCACGCTCCAGATTCTGGCAGCGATCCGGGGCCACGGTCGCCCAAGCTACACTACGTTACTAGTCTGGAGCTGCATGGGCTGACATCCGTGGAGCAAGTCCAAGTATGAATAATAAGGGGGACAGGTAGGTAGAGAGGCTGATGCATTGATGGTGACAGTGGCTCTGCAAGACTCGTTCAGCTGTCTCACCGGCCAGGCGCGCCCTACAGTGTCAAATGCGGTAATGGCTATCGGTGGGGGGGACTGGAGCCATGGTGTGCATGTGTGGAGCAGCGCCCGGTATAAAGCGCAGATTGAGACAAGGCGAGGCAGAACACAAGTGCTGCGTATACATACACTACATAGATACATGATGCATCACGAGATTGTCGCTCTTGAGAAGCAGCACCAGCCCCTCCCCGTCGACGGCTTCGCTTTTGCTCCGGGCACTACCTACAACCTCACAGCCTACGAATCAACCTCGTCGCGTGACCAACTTCACCAACGCATCCGCAATGCCACTATAATTATTGTAACGACGATTAGACTGGATGCCGAAACTTTGCACCCCACCGTTACCCCCAATCTGCGCTACATAGCCGTCTCCGCAACAGGCACCGACCCAGTCGACCTCGATGCCTGTCGGTCACGCAACATTCGCGTAACAAACTGTCCGGGGGCTAATCTCGACGCCGTCTCAGAACACGCCATCAGCCTCTATTTCGCTGCCAGGAGGCGCACCGTGTTGCTCGACCGCATAACGCGAGCACAACCGAGCGAATGGAAGGACAAGGGTACTGTCAACCACTACATGCGCCTTCCGGATGGCAAGCCACCCATTACGTGCAGGGACGAGGTCATGGGCGTTATCGGATACGGTGGCCTGGGTGCGTTTTACTCGTTCTCCCTGCCCTGTTTAGGATGCAGGATCCTGGGTTGATCATAACTAAACGACCACAGGCAAAAGGATAGCTGCATTGGGCAATGCACTCGGCATGCGCGTACTGGTTGCGAGTCGCAAGACGCCCGCGACACCTGCACTCAGTGACATTCTTCCGGCCCCGGATACGTCTGATGGCCGCATTCCTTTTGAAGATGTTCTCCGCCAGTCTACTGTGCTCGTCTTGTCGCTGCCCCGAACTTCCGAGACGCTCAATCTCATCTCCACACAGGAGCTCGCCAAGATGCATCCATACTCTGTCATCATTAACATAGCACGGGGTGGCATTGTACATGAGGCAGCTGTCGTCCAGGCTCTCAAGGAGAAGCGTATCGCCGGCTATGCCACTGATGTCTATCAAGTGGAGCCCGCGGGTGGACCTGAAGATACACCGTTACTCGAGGAGGAGACAAAGGATCTGAACATCACCATGAGCCCGCATCTAGCGTGGTTCTCGCAAAGGACAATTAAAAATCTGGGGGATATATTGAAGGAGACAGTAGAGGGATGGGTAAGCGGCAACGAGATCAATGTCGTTGTATAACGAGCCCAAAACCCAAGGGCGAGAAGTCATGTCTGGTTTTGTCATCTTTGAAGCCGATTAGATTCAGATCTCAACCCAGCCAGCCTAGAGATAACGGAAGAAATAAACTCTGGTACCGAGCGTATGGGCACATGTAAGACTCCGCGCCACACACTTGGGGTGATGTTGATGTTGTGGCGTTGAGGCTTGATGGTTGGAGTGTCGTCGGATTGGTGCAGGCCACGTGACTGATGATGAAACCCTAGGACCCCTGCTTGGCGGTTGCAAGGCAGCGGCGCATCGCCTCGGGCCATCATCAACTAACATCACGTCGGCTCTCTCTACGCGTCAGAACACCACCAGTAACACCCTCCGCCTCCTCGAGCCGTCAATTCTTCCGCGCACTGCCATCCCTCGGTGGGTGTCGCGCGCACCTTTGCGCCCGCCCTTTGCATTCCATAACTGCAAGCCTTCCAGCCGCTGTCGGCTCTGGTTCCCCCGGCGGCAAGCCCGTCCCACAGCCGCCCCACCGACATATTCACCAGCTCCAGCTCCAGCTCCGTCACCACCACCATGTCGGGCTCAGTCGCAGTTGCACGCCCGTCGCAACCTCCACGTTTGCGTCGGGAGTCCCAACGGCCCGGAGTCGCGCGCACCGCCACCCGCCAGTCCAACATGGAGGACGACAGCGCGAAGCCAGAAGAGGCTAGGAAATATGGTATACCCTCTGCCAAAAGCACCATACCCCTTGCAACAACTAACATGTGGCTCAGTATACACCCAGCAAGACATCCTGGCCAAGCACAAGGGAAAGCCGCCTTCCCTCCGCGTATACCTGCACCCTAAGCACTTCCGTCTCAATGACTCCCAGGAGACACTGTCCTATGCTTCGCCCATGCGCGAGCTTCTACAGGCTATCAAGGACAAGGTGGTGCCACACAACATGGTAGAGGAGCTGTATGAGTTCAATACACCCTGGTACGACAACTGCCTCATTGTCGAAGTGCACGACTACCGCTCGAGCGGTGTGAAACCCAAGGACGATGCCAACAACACTGGGGAAGGGTCCACCAACGCTTTCTCAATCCATAACTACAACAGCTTCATCACTCCATCTCCTTATGCTCCCTTTCCAGTCAACAAGCCTGAGCAGAAGCCTACGCAACCCCCGGTTCAGAGCAAAGATGGGGACGTTAAAGAGGATAAAGAGAACATGCCTGCTCCTGGCCAGACTGGTACGCCAAATAAGCAGGCAGGACTTGGAAAAGTCAGGACTGTGGTGCTCTTCCCAACTCCGCTATCACACTTGGCCGACATACAGCTATTGGCCACGACGCCTGTTCCAGACATGGCCGCCTTGAAAAGGATGCAGGCTCAAGGCAGAGCTGCAGGTATGCCGCCAACCCCGATGACTGGTGTACCGTCTACACCGACCTTCCCCAACGGCCCCAGCCCGAAGCGCCAAAAGATGGTCCTCGACGACAGCAATCTCCACGAGTTCGAAGCCGAAGTCTTGAACACTACCTGTCCGCCGCTATACTTGGAACCCACTAAGAGTTTTGGAGAATCGCTTGCGCTCATGGATGCTATCACGCATCCGAACAACAAAAACCCCGCGCCTCCTCGCAAGACTCGCAAGAGGACCACCGCTGAATTGGCCGCTGACGAAGCCGAAGCGCAGGGTCTACAGCGCTTTATGCTTGCTGGTGACGAATTTCAAAGTGTCATGGCAGCCGCAGCTACTGGGAATGACGACAACGCAGTGCGTGCAGCCGCCAACTCACAAACATTTGCACGTTTCAAGACGATTGCCAATATCCGGGCCAATCACGAAGAGAATGATCGACGGAAGAAGGAGGAGGACGCCCGCATTGCTCAGGCTAAACGACAGGCACAGATGGAGGCGGAACTTCAGAGGAAGAGAGAATTGGAAAGCAGACAACAGGCTGAAGTTGCTGAACGTCAACAAGCAGCCCTTCGGCAACAAGCACAACACCAGGCGCAGCTCCAGCAGAACCAATTGCAACAGACTCAATTGCAGCAAAACGAAGCCTTACGGGCCGCCGCGGCAGCACAGCACCAAATGGCGAATGCTGCGGCAGCACAAGTTACACAGACGCCTCAATCAGCAACACAGTCCCAATTTTCGCCAACGATACGCCAACAGACACCCATGACTGCCTCTGCGGCATCTCCACGGGTCGGTGGTCAAGCCTCACATCCCATTGGGGGCACTCCAATGGTACCGTCAGCTTCCAACCAGCCCATCAACAGTCCAGCGCGACCGCCGTCTTCTATCTCCCACCACCAGAACCAGATGGCCCGATCAATCAGCCAGCAACAAAATCCAAGCCGCACTGGTACACCTCATATTGTTCAGGGTACGCCAGTCATGAACCCATCAATGCCGAATCGTAACATGACGCCTACACCGAGTCGCATGAATCAAAATAGCCCGTCTATGGCGATGCAAGGCCAGACACCAATGATGATGCAGACACCCCAACCCGGTCAGAATATGACGCCCGAAGCGATGCAGCAACTTCGTGTGCAACAGATGCGGATGCAGCAGCTGCAGCAACAAGGAGGATCTCCGGGTAATCAGCAACAACAAATGCAGCAACTGGCATTCCAAAAGGCCCAGCAACATATTCAGCAAACTGGTGTCCCTCCCAATCAAAATCCACAAGCTTACCGCCAGCAGCTAGCACAGCACTATTTCCGTCAACTGCAACAGCAGCACCAAAACCAACAACAGCAACAACAGCAAATGGGCATGCAAAATATGTCGACCCAAGGGGCCATGCCGCAAAACGCTATGCCTCAACAAGGCATGGCTTTTGCTAACATGAGCTTGCAACAGATGCGGCTACGGTATCAGCAACAAAAGGCAACAGTTATGCAGAACTACAGCAACACGCAGAGCATACCCCCACAGATCATGCAGCAGATGCAGCACATGGAGTTACAAATCAAGCAGCGGGAACAACGCGAACAACAACAAGCGCAGATGGCACAGATGCAGAATGGGATGGGCAATCAAATGAACGGGGGCCAAATGGGTGGCATGCAAAATGCCAACCCCGCCAATCCAATGCAAATGCAGCAGTATCAGCAACTACTCCAACAGCAACGCCAGGCAGCCGCAAATCAGAACCGAATCATGCAAATGCGCCAGCAGGCCATGGCGAATGGTGGCCAGCTACCGCAGGGTATGATGGGCAACATGAATGCCATGGGCGGTATGCAAGGCACAATGCAGGGCATGAATGCTATGGGCAACATGGCAAATGTCCAAGGCATGAACATGGGCCAGATGGGCCAGATGAATGGCGGTATGGGCGGCATGCAAAACGGGCAGATGAACACTGGTATGGGCGGCATGCAGAACATGCAAGGCATGCAAGGCATGAACCAGATGAATCAGATGAACCAGCAGCAGATGCAGCAGATGATAATGATGCGCCAAGCACAGCAGCAGGCTCAGCGGATGGGGCAACCAGGAGGTCAACAGGGCGGCGACATGGGGTGGACCGGTTGATCACGGTGAGCCTGCCTAAGAGGAGACTTTGGTCGACGAGTACCATTATACCCCTACTGTTGTTTTGTGTTTGATTATCCTTTGGCGTTTTCTTCCAGGAAACGGAAGACAATCCGAGATCTGGACTGGATACCAATGGGTGTTTTGGGAGCATTTGCTGGGCGAAATGAGAAAAAAAAAGAAAGTTGCTTCAAGATACCCCTGGTCTGGGATGAGTTTCCGTTTTTATGGCATTTTTTGTTACTGTTCTCTCACCAGCGCTTTTGATGTGGCGCGGTTTGTTGCTGCCAATTTCATCTGGAAATGTCCATAGTTTTTACTTTCTTGTAGCGATTTATAAGTAGCATCTGAAATGACATTGTTAAGAAGGGAAGCATCTGTTAGAATGATATTGATCTGTGGGTGTATCTTGTTAGGCTTCAGTGACGAATACACTCTTCTCTAGATTTTGGCGAATGTGTCCCGCCAGCCACCATGTTTCTTCTGCATAGTGACGTCTGGCAATTAGAAAAAAAACAAATATAATGCGCATCAACAGTTTGTACCATTTCTCAATCAATGCTGTTGTTCATCACTTTCAACTGAGCAGTGGATGTAAAGTGTTCGTGTCGTTCATTTCCTTTGACGCTACTACTATCATACAAGACAATTTCCATCCAGTTTCTAGCATACGCTGACATGTACTTTTCAGCAGCTACAGGGCAACTCTGGCGGCTAAACCATGAAGTCACTCAGGATAAAGTCACCCGTAAATGTAAAGTTTTGTGGACTCGATGCGTTCCAATGCCTTGGTGTCGAACACTATTTCTTAGAAGCGGCCTGGGCAAGGTCGGCAAGAGCCTCGCGGCGCTTGAACTTGGCGTCTTGGATCACACCTAGAGTATGTTAGTACGGAGAGCACAATTTGGAAAACAAAATAGAACTACGTACTGGCATCAGCGTCACTGCTGAAGTTGCCAGACCATGTGACGAACGTCTGTCCCTGGTGCTTGCCAGATGTGACGGGGTATGCGCGGATGGTAGAGACGACCGAAGAGTATGAGAGCTCTGGCTTGGAAGTAATAACGGAGTACGTAATGAAGTGGTCGATGGACTAAAATTTTCCAAATTAGCGACTTGTGAAGGAAAAAAAAAGAAATCACAGAAAGGAGGAAAAAATTACGTACTGAGTGCTCCTCCTGCTTCACCTCGAGCTCAGTGCCGTCCTTGAATGTCCACTTGACAATGTCGGTCTCGTCAGATGTGCCCTTGACGAACTCGCTCTTCTCGAGCTTGGTCCAGAACTTGCTGAAGTCCTGGAGCTTGATCAGGTGCCAGACATCGCTGAAGGGCGCCTCGATGACGGCAGACTCGTGGACGGAGGTGGAGGTGGGGATGGTCGACATGGTGATTGGAATTTTTCTTGGTTAACAATTAATGTTGCAGAAATCGATTTCAGTGGAGGTGAGAAGAAGATGCGAGTGGAGATTAGAGTGGATGGTTGGAAGCAGTTGAGAGAGAAGTTTAGGTGGGGCACCATTGCTTGTTGCAAACCTATAGCGTCATGGCAGAGCTCGCGGCAGAGCTAATGGCAGCTACCCCTCCCCCGCGCCGTTCCTGCTTGGACAATCCTGTGCTTGCCACCCCAGCCTTGTGCAAGACGATATCATCGAATCATGCGTCATCGACTTGTTGTAACTGGTTCCTCTGGTGAGCTACTCTCTTGGCACCTTGAATACTTACTCGCTGCGACCTGTTCTTACTCCAGATCAAGAAATCCAATACCGGATGATTGATACAGACCAAGTAAGTAAAGGAACACTCTAGACTTACAAAAGGGGCGATTACCAGACCACGGAACATACATTCTCCTAGCCAAGATACAGCCTTACCCATACTGCCAATAATCAAGCGTCCTCTTGACACCCTTCCCCTTTTCTTTCTCATCCTTCCTCGCCCTTCCTTATCATTCTAATGCCTTGATCACACAATATTCCAACTCGGACAATACAAACTACCGACAGTCTTGTCAGCCATGCGTGCAGCACACCCTTAATGTAGCCCAGGCAGCCAATCATAGCTTCTTCGCTACAGCCACCGCCACATCGGACGAAACTAGCCTCCGGTTTCACCGACCACTCGGACGCGCAACACTCTACAGCCTACCTATAACGTGGTCAGACAACGCTCTAGACACTGGATAGAGGAGCTTGTCATCGATGATCCTTCTCGTTGATTCTGTGTGTTTCCGAAGAAACTCGAAATATAGCATGCGATTGGCTTTCGATATCGATGGCGTATAATGCGACTGACTGGACGTTGTGGCGATAACAGCGAGGGGGGGGGGTCGCACGTACGTACGCTTGCACGTGCAAAGTGATGCCTGGAGCCTTTTGTTTTGTATAATATGCTTGAAAAGGTAGGCGATATTTCATATCAGCCAGACACTCAGTCTACACCTTCTCATCAATCCATTATCATAATCTACAAACTATCAATATGCCTTCAGTTGCATACATGAATCAATCGGCGCCTTTCTGGGACTTTATCGCAAGTCTTGAACAGCAAGGCGCCCATCAATCTCGCTCTGGCCAGAACCGCGAAGACGGTGCTGAGAACGAGCAAGGTCCTCAGGGACCCCCAGATCCATTTGCCCCTTGGACTTGGGGCCATGGATTCTTCGGCGGCGGTAGAGGAATGCCTCATCACGGTGGTCCTCCCCACACCCGCCATGAACGCCACCACGAAGAGTCTGCAGGCGAAAAAGAAGCAGAGATGAACGATGCAAACGACAACGGAGAGGGCCCATCTGGTACTTCCGGCTCTGACAACGAAGCCCGTGGCGAAGACCGTTCAAACAGACGAGAACGCCATGGCCGTTGTGGTGGAGGACCACGCGGCCGCTGTGGACCTGGTGGCCGGGGTGGCTTTGGGCCTCGCCACGGTCCTGGACTACACCATGGATTCGGCTCTCACCATGGCCCTTACCATGGCAGTCACCGCGGAGGGTGGGGCCCATGGGGACACGGGGGTCCACATGGAGGCGGTCCCTTTGGAGGCGGTCCCTTTGGTTTTGGAGGCAATTCTTTCGACCCATCCACCTTTGTCACTCACCTCTTCAATCAGTTCAACGACTCAGGTCCTTCGAACGATGACTCTGGGAATAAGGCCAGATCATCTAGAAACGAAGATCACACTCCTGAAGCCGACATTTTTGACACTGAGTCAGCATACGTGGTTCACATCTCCCTTCCTGGCGCTAAGAAGGAAGATGTCGGTGTGAACTGGGATGCTGAGAAAAGCGAGTTGAGCGTCGCTGGTGTTATATACCGTCCTGGAAACGAAGAGTTCTTGAAGACACTTACTGTTGACGAGAGGAAGGTGGGCGCTTTTGAGCGGAAGATTCGTCTAGGAACGAGAGTCAATCCTGCAAGCATTGATGCTGATGGCATCACTGCCAAGTTGGAGGACGGTGTATTGAGGATTGAAGTGCCCAAGCTAGACTCGGGCTATGTGGAGATCCGCAAAGTGGATATTGAGTAGTTTTCTCGAAGAGCCGGGCGAAGCAGTGATGGGGTAGTATATAGAGATATGTAGGAATGCTTCTTTGCGTTCCAATTTGGAGGATAGTTACTTGTAATGAACATATTTCCTAAGCAGTGAACATTTTGAAAGTTGTGTTATTTTGTGAACTATTCTCATCAATCCCATAACGAGCGACTTGTTACCTTGCCCACTTTCTTCCTTCCGTCCCTTACCGAAGACTCAGGCCTTCCCAGCGATGAGATCAGCACACATCTCAGCCAGCGCATAAATAGTGAAAGAAGGCATAGCAGCAATCGGTTCCGGGAGAACACTAGCATCGCAAACTCTTAGTCCTTCCACTCCTTTGACTCTAAACGCATCGTCCAGTACCGTTCCCAGTGCACATGTGCCCATGGGATGACAAATTGTACCTGCAAACTGCGTGATTCTTGCATCAATCTCCTCATCGCTACTCTTCGTCGTCAACGCGGGAAACTGCGCACCCGCAGGCGGAACCTCGCCCTCGACCTCGGCAGCCAGCGGCCCCGTCTCCACCAAGCGCAAGTTCTCACGCACAGCGCGGCGCAGAATAAATCGATCGGTATTAGTAGAGAGAAAACGCGGATCGCATACAGGTTTATCGTTGGGATCCGCCGAGTTCAGCGTTACACTACCACGAGACAGCGGAAGCATATGGAATGCACATAGCGAAATGTGAGCACCGTCTTCCTTGACAGTAGGGAAAATGGTCGGGTCAACGAGAAAAGGGTAGTAAACTGCCAAACTAAGGTAGTGGCACCGGTTAGGCCTCAGTAACAAGTCCTCCTCTTGCGGCTCATCAATGCGGATGCCGTCGTCCTTGAGGTACGGAGAAAGCTCTGTATCGGGAATGTTGGCGAACAAGCCAAAGTCAAAGGGGAGACCTTGGCCATATGCTGGATCCGCATACTCATTGAATGGGCGGGCGTAGACTTTTGAAGCGTCTTTAAGCTTGAAGTACATTGTCATGGCGTTGTGGTCGCAGAGGTTCTGGCCTACGGCGGGGGAATCAACGGTTTGGGGGATGCCGTGTTTGGCCAGTTCGTCGGCGGGTCCAATGCCAGATAGCATCAGGATCTTTGGTGAGACCTGAGTCCCACATGAGACTATGACTTCCTTGTTTGCCATGATGCGTTTGCCGGAGGTAAGTTCCACTCCAATGGCTCGCTTTGAGTCGTCGAGAAGAATGCGAGCGACGGATGTATCGCAAAAGACTTCGACGCCGCTTAGGTCGTATACTTTGGCACTGTGTTGCCGTGTCGCGGTAGACTCGGAAGTAGCACGCCAGCACTGAGTGATATCCCCCAGACCCGTCGGGTCTCCCCTGGTTGGGTTGTACTTGTGGCCCAGATTCTCTGCACTTTCTTTGAGAAGGTTTCGGATCGGGTACTTTCTTCCCCCTACGGTGTGAATTTTGCCATCAAAGCCATACCGATCTTTATCTGCCGTCGCATCGAAATGCGTCTCTATGCGTTTGTAGTATTTTTCCATGTTTCCATATGTGAATCTCGCGTTTCCTGCCCTTTCGGCCATGACGTCCAGATCAGCAGTAGAGGCTCGCATCCACAACCCAATGTTGACACCATTTGCTCCTGACAACAAACGGCCCGCAGCGTTCATGATATTCCTGCCACCCAGATGTTCTTGTGGTGTAGTTGAATAGTCTATAAGGAAGCCTTTCTGGAATAGCGGCATCCAGTTGAGTGGGTCAGAGACATTGTCGATAGCGGGATCGTCCACTGCGTTTGGGCCTGCTTCGAGCAATGCGATGTTAGAGTTGGGTAGGTATTCTTTTAGACGAGAAGCAATCACGACACCAGCGGTGCCTCCGCCCGCAATGATGTAGTCGAATGAGGGCTCCATTGTAGCCATGGAATAAGGAACTACTGAATCGAAGGATGGTATGTTGAGCCACGAACATAAGCCTACTTATACACCTTTTCAAGCTAGTTCTTACTCATTGGTTCGATGAATCTTATATATCATACGTGGCTGCGAATGTGAGGTTTTGGTTGCTAGAGGCTTCACTAAGCGCTTACATGAACTCGCCTTGACCAGTATTTTGTCCGAAAGCGGTAGCGCAAGGCATGTCGCTCTGCCAATAGATTCTACAGGGCGTATTCTGATTGTGATTACCTCGGTTAAACCAGGAAAGGCGATTCGTTGGGTAAACAGAAATGAAGAATGTTAACGTAAGATTGGCGATCGAACTGGGTTAGTAAGTAGAATACGCTGTGGGATTTACACGCCTACATCTTCCCTAATGTGATGAGCGTCTGATCGGTCTTACCTCACAGTCTTGTCATGCAATATCTTTGAGGGATAAGCGCGGTTCGTCATGATAAGCGCGTATGAGATCTGCATTCAAAAGTGGCGGTAATGAATATTGCCTTTTCCACCACCTTGGTACGCTCCAACTGGTTCAGGGGCTAGTGTGCACGAAAGCTCAGTTAGTCAATGTCAAGCAGGTACCTCAGACGGTATGGCAACAGGATCTTGTCATTCGCTTTGATATGCATCTTCATTGAGGCATACCCCAAGAGGTATAAATTGCCAAACTCCGCTGGTCCTCTTGTTTACTTTTGGACTGGGTTCTCGATTGGTTGGAGAGGATCTCAGTTGTTGGAACATGAGTTTGTAGCCAGTGGTGTGCTGCGAGGGAAAGATGCTTGTTGCTGGACCTTTGAGATTGTCCTAGCAAGTGACCGACATGTCTGTTTTAGTGACTGTGCCCGATTAAGTCTAGAGTATCGCTGCTGTTGATCCATAAGCTCATCTGGCGGGCACATGCTGAGTCTGGCAGGAGCACCTGAACGGTTACACCATATCTGTCATAGAGTATTCCCGGCGAGGATCCCCAAGTATATTCTGGTAGTACATATATTCCTAATGTAGCAATGAACCAGTAGATGAAAGGAATTTCCATTGGTAGACATGGAACTTGTGACGCTCCATTCACTCCGACAAACGGGTCTCACCTTCCCAATTACGTCAACGCTATCTATAAAGCTACTTTAACACCTCTCAATCTTCACTATTTGAAAGCTACCAACTCACATTCAACTACTACGATGTCTTCAACTCGGAAGTTCGCTACAGTTGAAATTGGAGCAAAAGACGACATGGCGAATGACAATACTACCAACAGTGCCCCCGCAAACAACACATCTGTGCCTGCACCACCCACGCTGGTCACTACCTCTAACGACGACATGACCCTGTCGGACGTGAATATCGCGAGCAACACTCCACGCCTGGCTCCTCCCCTGCACACACCCTCAACACCCGGCCATTTCATCAACCAAGAGCCAAACCCAACGTCCTTGTGCAGCTCTCCAACTCTCGTTTCCTCCATCTTCCCAACCGAGCTACCCCTCCGTACCCCGCCTCGCCCTTCACTCATCAGTCGTGTATTCAGCCTATCACCACCGTCTGCGCATGCAGCTCGCGCTGGAAATCGCGAACCTCGCACTTTTCATACAACAGACATTGAGATGGGTGGGCAGGAGCACTTGAACCGTGTCTTGCAGCAAGGTGAGAGGGCCAAGAATACCAAGAAGATCGAGAAGGTCAAGTTCGTTTTGCTGCTCATGGGTGGGACGGCGCTTTGTTTGGCGATGGGCATAATGGTATATTTGGTTGTGAAGTTTGCGGCGGAGGATGATGATGGACATTAGTGCTTTGGGGAAGCTGCAGGGATGAATGATCGGTGTCATGGAATTTCAGGAACAACGGCACGAAGGGATGGAATTCATTTCCCTCTGTCTCTGTAGGGTATGGGGAGTCAGCCAATGCAGTCCATTTAGACTGATCAGTTCCTTACTCGACACGGATACGTATGGCGATTTATCCAATAAAACCAAATCAGTCGACGCCCAGAAAACAAAGTGATTATATGTGGCGACATGAAAAAATTACTCCATTCGGGAAACTATTTAAGCATGCGCAAAAGACATACGATGTCAAGAACACCTCATAGCTAAAATCTATAACAACAACCAGGAGAAGACTTTATTTCTTCGTGTCAGCAATAAGTACATTTCTTTCGTATCCGCACTAGCGATTATAATTAGATATTACAATATATCACTAAATCATCGCCTTCGCTGAGGGCCAGACAGAATGCATCCATCCGCACAAGCCGGGTCGGTGCTGTTATACGCAATCTCGCCCACACTCGCACCGGGCTCTACACTAGGATCTCTGGGAATCGAAAACATGCGTCCATCTTCCGGCGCAACCACCGCCTCCAGGATATCGCCAAAAGCATTGAGAACATTGGCAATGGGCTGGCCCTTTGAAACGGGCTCATCAACGCTAACAAGTGTCTCTACGAAACCACCGTACTGCGTGTATGTGTCATGGAATGTGGTAATGACATATGTCTTGCTTAGATCGGGCTCGACAGTCGTGTTGGAAGGCGTGATTTTCAAATCAACCAAGACGCGGTTTACGTAGTCGACAACGCGGTTGATGAGGGTGCTATTCCAGACTCTGGCTTGGCCCATTTCTACGGTGAGAGAGGGGATTCCGTAGTCGACAAAAGTAGTCTCGATGGAGCCGGGCTCGCCGACATCGATCTTCAGCGTGTCGGGCTGGAGGAGCTTGGCGAGGCGCTCGACGTAAGGAAGGCGGAAGTCCGCATAGCACCATAGAGAGGTGTCTGCGCCCGTGCTGGGAGTGTCTTGTGAAAGCTTGTTAGCTAGAAATTCTGGATAACATTGTAGGTGTGAAGAACGTACGGAGATCAATGCCAACATCGACGTTGCTCGTGTTGGCCCAGATCTGGTTCCAGATGTTGTAGGCAAGGATGTTCGGTCCGCTGCCTCCTTCCGCAGGTGCAATGCCAGGGAAAATGCGGTTCACATTGATGAGAGATCCGCTTCCGGCAGCAGTGTAGTAGTTGCGCTGTCTCATGTAGATTCCCATTGGGTTGACGGTTGGGATACCAATGACTAGATCCAGATTAGCCTCAGACTTTAAGATGACGACCAGAACATCATACCAGTGCCATTGAGTGTTGCAACCTGGTCCTGAAGCTGCTCGAAGACGCGCTGAACCACACGAACGGGGTTCAGCTCATCACCATGAATGGTACCTGAAAGCGATAGCTTCTTGCCCGTGTGCAGACTCTCCTCTGTTCCGCGCGCAACCATGATGGGAATGTAAACCGGGTGTCCGCCATTGAGCTCGCCCGCGCGCATATAGTATTTGGAGACTGTCTGCGGTGGCACGTCTGCCAGGTTGAGGCCCTGGATAACAGGAACGCCGTTCACAACATCGCCGGTGAAATTGAGCGCGTGTGAGCTGCCGACGAGAGCCGCCGTGGTCGCAATTGCCGAGAGAAGCTGCATTTTCGCGTAGAGCTGGCTGAGGCTGCGATTGCCATGCTAGAGCTTACCAACGTCCATTTTATACGTCTACCGTGGCTCGATAAGACCTCAACCGTCTCGCTCCAACTGCCCATCCTAATAGAACTGTTTGTCGCAAACAGGAAGGTCGGCATGGGTGTTGTCCACTCAGTGACGGTGCCCAGCCTGGCCGACTCTTGGCATCTCGTAGTTGACCCGAGTCTCGGGTATGGGCGGTAGGTACAGGTCGTCATAGCCACGGAGTCAATTGATTCAGGGCAATGTAACCGCGAATAGAACATCGGGATCGTGTTTACAGGTATTCGAGTAACCATTGACTTGGGATCGGTGGATCGTTTCGGTTGTTCCGGTGCGATGGGACGGAAGTTCGCGCGAGTCATGACAACTCGGTAGGAACAGATAAGATGGTATCCGGGCCTTGTGCTTATTCTGCCGCTTCTTTGAACTATTGGTAAACAAGTATTCTCAAGTGGGAGCCTGCTTTTACTTTCATTTGTTCATTCAATAATACTCAATTGCTGTTTCGCCATGGACGCTGCGCTGACTGTGTGTTGAAATAACATTAAACTGTACATTCTTCATACAAGAGCAGAGTCCGAGGGCTTCACTACTGGCAACGAAGGCCACGTACCGTTGATGACACAGCAAGTTCGGACGATCAATAAGGAGCATCTCTGACCCTTGAGTAATGTCAGCAGCGCGCGGAGCTGCCGGGCAACCGCTTTCCTCTCATCCTCGATACTAGCGGAGATTTGGTTTTCTCGGAAAGTGACGACGATAACGACGACTTTGAGGTTTCAGACGATATCGGATCTGGAGAGCAGCAATGAATGAAATTGCATAATATCGATTTATAGAAAAATACCAAGGGAAAAGACAGTCTAGAGACGACTGAGAGCGTAAAACAACAAAACTCCCCGCTGCAGAGAAGAAACAATTACCTACCATAACCTTGGTCTTTGTGAGTGAGAACACCCACTCCAATACAGTGCAATAAAAGGAAGATGTGGCTCATTCTTGACTGACCAGTCAATACTTAGCTGCAACCCTGTTCTCCATCTTGGTCGGTGTCCTCTGCGCCTGCGTTGAGTAGCATCTTCACTATTATCCCCATTTCATCATCTCGATACATACTCGTTCGACGGTGTCTAGCAGCTTGAAGGGCATTCCCATAGTGCCCACCCTGGGCATTGACGTCTGCGCCTGCATCAAGCAGTACCTTCACTATTTCTACTTTACTAGTATGAGTAGCAGCTTGAAGTGCATTCCCATAGGGTCCACCTTGGGCATTGATGTCTGCGCCTGCATCAAGCATGAATTGTAATAGTTCTTTCCTACTTTCTCTTACAGTATCATGTAGCACGAGCGCCTCACAGTCTTCCTCGCTTTCAATTCCTAGTCTCATGCGCAGCAACAGTCTGACAACTTGGTCACATCCGCTCGCTGCAGCCTTCAGTATGGCCTGTAGTTTGTCACGTATGACAACCACTTTAACATGATGCCCCGTATTCCCCCACGAAAGGACATACAGTCCTCTATCATATTCTTGCAGAACTCTGGTAGACTGCTGATCTAGCATCAGCCTGACTATCTGACTATAGCATGTGTTCTGGTTTTCAAGGCTTTCTGTTGGCTTTTTCTCAAATAAGAGCAGTGTTGGATCGTTGACACATGCTATGGCTGGAAACTTGACCTCGGTTTGATATGACTTAGTCGTCTTGTATCCTGATGGAAGACCCGAGTAGATTGTCTTTGAAGTAATTTGTTGTTCTGGTAGAAAACAGGCAACGTTCAATGTCGTAAAAGAACACATGATATCGAGGACATTGTCCATAGTGAATGGGGTTGATTGATTTTTTTGCATCGATTGAAGCAAATATTTAATAACCTCTTGAATAACCTGGGAAGTCGGCCTTTGGTAGTCTATGGTAATACTCTTTGTGTCTAGAGGATCCAAAGACATACCAAGCAGGGCATATATCTTGTCGCGCTCATCGGTTGCTTTGCTCCCATGAAACTTGCGCAGAAGGGTGCGTAAGTCGCGTGTTTGTGCCCACCAGGACTTTGACCGGAATGACTTTGCCATTATGTCTAATATAGGTCGGCAGTGCGGTGGAAACTCTTGCTTTACAAAGGAGAGTGCAAGGACAAGGATTTCTGTTGGAATAGATCCAGCGCCACAACAAACATCGGCTCTGCTGGCTTTGGCTGCCTCTTGTAGGATCCAGACCCTTGTGAACCATTCTCGGTTCAGAATTTGCTTGATTGCGATAGAATGATCCGTCCAATTCCAGTCTTGGAACGTTTCTAGCTTGTAGTGATAATCAGGATCGGCGTTTCGAAATTGGTTGAGTCTTTCCATCAAGGCGATCATTTGCGGCGTCGCCTTGCCCAACCAGATGAGAAGTTTCTCAGCCTTTTCATATATTTGCCCCATCTGCTGAACTTGGTGACTCTGTTCCACTTTGTCTTCTTGGTTTATACAAATCGCGTCGATCCACAGAATACGATTCCTGTCGCGTAACCGCAGGTTTTGCAATGCCGCATGTAGGTTATCAGTTATCCAAAATGACTTTTCATCAAGTTTGATACACTCGACAAGCTCGTTGCTGCCCCATGCGTAGGAAAGAGCTTCGTATGGGAGGTGTACACTTTGCAGTGACTGTAGGAAGAGGTCGCATTCGATTTCAGGACCACTCCCTTTCAGTAGCCTCAAGAGTCGGAAACCCTCACCCTCAGATCCAAGCTTTGAATAGTGATACATATCTATGGATGGAAGCGGTGTTCTCACAGTACGAAACGTGTTTGCGCAAATGTTGATGCGTGTGGCACGAGTGAAGGATATCCAGCGGGGTAAGGGCGCGTTTCGGGAAGGCTGAGATAATGCGAAAGCTTCTGCAGCATGCGTTGTCCTTATAATGCACATATACTGACAGGCTGACACTAGGCCAAACTGGTTAGGTGGGGGGGTTTATCCTTGTGTTACGTAGCACAGATACCAGCGAGGCTGCATTGAAGGGAAGGCCCAATCGATAAGCACTGTATATATTCTGCACGTGACTGTAGCCTCTTTAGCCTAAGGACATTCCTTCTTCTAAGCGTTTCATTCAGAGTAATGTGATATCAATTTCCCGTGTCCTATTTATTCTCCAGCTAACATAACCTACATTGAATATTTTAGAACACACACAACTTATTCTACCGCGATATTCCACGAGATATATATAATACACTCCTAGCACACGACCTTCGTGTAAGTAGGTGGAGTAATTAGTAGTACCTATAGTAATATCGCTACTAAGAACCAACAGCACAAAACGAATAGGTGAACGACTATAGTCCAAAAAGGGAAAATGTGCGTATATAGTTGATCTTACCATCAACCCTCCATACTATAGTAAAAAAGTAAAGTAAAGAGATCCCCTAAAAATAAAATAGCTCAATCCTGACATAGTATTCTCTATTATGACAGCATAGTTGGTAAAAAAAACGAATCAGGTATTGTGAGATTGAGTCCATTTTGAACCTATCTTGGTTTCGTGATGACGATTTTTTTGGCTCTACGTAACGCGCAGTGCGCCTAGTGTAGACTTTACCGCTAATGGTATTCTCGGTAGGGTTGTCGTGATGATCTCAGCGTATGCGTAGTACCTACGACTAGATGGATTGGAGTACTTGGTTCTGTGAAAAGCAAACGGCTGTGTCGAGCAACGTGGATTGGTATGCTGATTGTGGCTAGTTGAATAAGATGAGAGAGAGAGTGTGTGTGTCTTTTTATGATATACGTCAAAAGTTCTCATGCAATTTGCACTTCTGGTCAGATCACGATGCTTTACTCTAGGTGCTTTACGCTGGGTAAGTGTAGTCATTGGCAATAGCGTCGATTTGTTTTTGGCTGCACGACTACTGCATGTATAGTATCTGTGCTGGGTGACAGCGACCAAAGTGCCAGTCTTCTCAACACTTTACTTTTTTTGAGTAGTTACTTTGGGAGAGCGGGGATTTGTGAGAGAAAAAAAAGGTATATAAGTCGACGGATTTCTGTGTTCAAAATAGTACCATCAACATCAGCCTTGAACCACTTCAGCTTTTGAACATCACTTCCTTCTCCTCCACAGAACCAACATCATGCGTTTCTCTACAGTCACGACTCTTCTCTTCGGCGGCATTGCAAGTGCGCAATTGGGCTCAGATATGCCTATAACGTGCCAGAATGGTACGTTTCCACAATGCTGTCCAAGTTGCAATGATACTAATACCAGCTCGTAGGACAAGCGCCCATTCTTACATGCGGCAATCCGGCTTCGGAAATGTGTGGTTGCACCTGCCGTGACGGAATGACGTTTAACCAGCCCAGGCCTTCACCCCCAGGAAACACAACTCCACCTCCGATGCCAGCCGACCCGATGCCACCTCCACCTCCACCTCCCCGGGCTGATCCTGAACCGTACAAGTTCGCGTCAAAACCATGCTTAGGAAGAATCATCAACGACTGGAAAGCTATTGAGGGTTACCATAAGCCTAATTCGCTCGACAACGGTGAACTCGCGACCGACACAATTGACATTCCGGAAGACGCTGTCTTGATAGTGACTGATAGGAATTTAAGATGCGAGATCTTCGAGGTATCAGTCGACAACAAAGTCCTAGGTGAGACGTATGGAACAGCTCCCCTTGACAATAAGGGTTGCGGAAATGCAGACGATTGCATGAACAAAAACGGAGGGGCCCACGGCTTCTTTTTCGTTCCAAAAGGTGAGTCAAACTGAACCAGTTCCCGTGATCGGCTTTGGCTATATTTCACACATGTATGTAAAAGGTCTGAGGCTAATTCTCGAAATCTTTAGGGCGCCGCACGATCGGTACCAGATGGGTCAAGGTCCCACAGGCATGCAAGCACTATACGGATGGTTCTTCGCCTTACCAGATACGCGCAATGTGCTAGGCGGACCAACTTTGAACTTGAGCATGGCGGAGAGGTATATTCGATGCAGGGCTGGTTAATGCGAAGGCTTTGCTTGGGACGTTTGACAACCAGGACAGTACCAAATTGCCAGTTGAGGTGGGGTAAGATGGGGTTGACTGTGGGAAAGGAGGTAGGTAGCTTTGTAGTGGGGAATTAAATCGAACATTGCACATGATTCATGATCAATATTGCAGTCGTATTTGTAGTGGCACATACTGTTCGTCTAGACTTGTCGTTTCTGTCTACAGAATGGGTCCCGCCACTTCAGTGTAGTGTTATGCTTTTACTTGTCGTGTTCAAAGGCATTTGGCGCTTCAAAAAGCCTTTCAGGACAAGCCGTACGGAGTCAATACGTCGGGTAGATGGCCAACATAGTATTACATAGGGTCATCACCCACGCTAAAAAAGAAAAAAAAACAAAGTATTTTTAAACCTAGGTGCTTATACTTTTCGTACTCGCTCCTCATAGGCTGACCATGCAGCTTTCCTATAGCGTTCTGCTTCTGACTTGCGGTCTTGTGCTCGAACAATACCACGCCCAACGATAATGATATCGCATCCTTGGTCATAAATCAACTTGTGAGGTGTGTTGTACTGCTGACCAAGGGCGTCTCCTAGCTTCTTGCCCTCTTGACCTGGGGGCGGCAGTTGACAACCTGGAGTCATGGTGATGAAATTGTCGTCGGGCTCTGAGTTCAAGCTGCGCTGGGCAATGAAGCCCATGACAAAGTCTCGATGACTGCGGGCGATTTGAACCGTTGTCTTCTGGTATTCAGGCGTCATGAGGTGGCCCTCGGAGCTCATTTCAGCGAGCAAAAGGAGCGAACGCAGAAACGGCGGGGGGCCGAGGCGGATAAGCTCTGTGGCAGTATCGAGGTTGAAGACGTCTTCTCCGTTGTCGTTGGGTTCGGGCCGGGGCGATATACTTTCGGTGCGCATGGATATGGAAGTCGTGACGCTCACTACACTCTGCTTCCTGTCGGGAGCGCGGATGCTCAGTCTTCTCTCTTCGCCCTCCATCTCGATTGGGGACTCGATGGTGAAGTCGGGGTTTTTCATGTCTTGATCAAATTCGTCGTCATCTTCGTCGTCGTCGCCTGCTTCGTTTACCTGCCGTGTAGCGGAGATTTCGGTGTTTACAGAAGTGTTGTACTTGGCAATGGTTGTTTCGGCAGCTTTCTCGAGTGCGGTAACGATGGCAGGACCGGGCAGAACGTGCGCATTTGTGATTTCGGCCCACAGGGCGATGCGGTGGTGTCCCGAAGTGTACTGCTTCTGTACGGTTTCTGGTATGGTGTTAGCGGCCCGTCTAGATGGCAGGGTAGCGAACAAACGAGTGGTGGACAAGCATACCTCCAATATCAGCGAATTTGCGGTCTTCGAAAATGAGGAAGGTTTTGCGCGCGGCGATTTCTCTCAAGGCCTGGGCTGTCCTGTCGGACCAGTCGGTGACGATGTCGCAATGTGTTTTGAGCAGGCAGATGGAGTCGCCCACTTCTTCGGCGAGTTGCAGCAGTTCTGCAGAGGTCTCGACATCGGCTGAGAGGCAGAGATTGGTCTGCTTGGCGGCTATCAAACTGAGCAGGTATGAGGCCAGAGGACCGGCGGAGGACAATGAGGCCCGCGCGCGGTAGGTGCTGGTGAGAGTGGAATGGGGAGACATGGCGATGGAGAAGACGGGCGCGGCTCCGGTGGCCAGTCGCGTGTTTTGTTTGGTGGTGAGTCTTGTGCAGACTGTGGACGCGGGGTGGTGAGGGGCAGCAACAACGGCAGCAGGCAGGGAACGAGGGAAGCTGCGAGCTGGATGTGTGATTATTTTATAGAAGAAGAAAAAAGGAAGGGAAGATGTCGAGGCAAAAGAAGGAGAGGGAGGGGGGGTAAAAGAGTAAAAGAGCAGAAGAGGGAGAGATGGAGTGAGGGGACTTGCAGCCAGAGCCAGAGCCAGAGCCAGAGCCAGAGCCAAAGCCAAAGCCAAAGCCGAAGCGGACCAGCAGGTGGTCAAGGGAAAGTCGAGGGCCGGGTCGGCCCAGTCGGCGAGCAGTCCTGTCAGTCAGGCGTGTCGTGTCGTGTCGTGTCGGGTCGGGTCGTGGATACACAGCTACGTACATACGTATGTACATGATGCATCCGTCCATCCATTCATCCACCCACCCATACGCGAGAGGGACAAAAATTAATTGCGCCTGTTCCTGGCGCGGCCCGCTGGCCGCAGATGCTGGCTGGGTCTCTGCAGCCTGCGCCCCCTCCCCCCCCCGACAGACGCCCTGTAGACGCAGCTATGCACAGCACTGCCTGCGCATTGGTCCCACGCCCCCCCACCCACCCAAAGTTCCATCCAGGCCTCGCCTTCTGATCCCCCAGTCTACCACCACCCAGCCTGCTCTGCTCCGCCGTCGCCGCGCTCGTGTCGGTGAGCGGGGATACACGCGCGCTTCCAGCCCATCGCCCTCGCCCTCGCCTACTCCGAGCCGCCCGTCCATTTCCCCGAAGCTGCGTACTCCTCTACCTATCCTGCTCCCGTTCGGCACACGCCGTTAGCCGGCTGGACTGCCGATACATGTACACCTAGTACACAAACTATGTACACACATACATACATACATGCTGTACATGCTCAACCTCTTGGCGGCCTGTCCCCTTGCTGCGACTTTGGACCCTATGCCTCAGAAGCATGCGGACTAGCAGATCTCCCTGTCCCTTTCATGTCCCCTTCTCTTAACGCGGTACACTAAACCATGTCGGGTGATCAAGGACTTCTCCGCACACGCATCTTGCACATATACACACAAACCACATACGTCATTTTGCGCCTCATGACAGAAAAGGGGAGCGAATGTGGGTTTCAGGACAAGTGTTGGCGTCGCATTCAAAGCTGCCATAGTTAACTACGCCTTCTGTCCTGCATCTGAATATGTAAAGCACAGACCATTCGCCATCTAACCGCTTTCGGACCATTCACCACAGCTTGCCCCCCAGCAGTGACCTGTGAAGCTGGCACAATTCGACTTCATTATCACACAATTTCAAAGTTTACGAGCCAAAGAGCAGAGATGTTATAGGTGAATCACTGCTCTCTGAAGCGGACTTCACCTGGTACCACACACAAAACTTAATTCCCTGAGCCAGTGTTTAAGTTCTCAATTCACCACAGCTTGTTTATCTCACAGCAAACGCTCGCTTTTATTGTTGTGACTCGCTTGCTATCCTCTCTTCTCTCTTCCGTTACACTCAGCAAATTGCACCTCTTGACTACTTTCAACCTCAACATCATGCCACCCAAGAAGGACACTTCCGGCGGAGAAGCCAACGAGCTTCTCGTAGGCTTCACTGACAAGGAGACTAAGCTTATTGCCGCCGCGTTCCTGAGCTCCACCGGCCCTGACAAGGTGAGCGCACGCTACTTTCTGCCGATCCAATCTGCTGCAAGGACGTGTGCTAACAACACCACTAATAGTTCGACTATGAGACCATGGCCGCCCTCACCAAGAACACAGCTGGCTCGCTCAAGAAAATGTGTAAGTGACTTGCATCCACACCCGCTCGCCCGTTCCCTGGCACGCGCTAACTCGGTACCTCCCAAACACAGGGCCTCCCGTCAAAAGAAAGGCAATGGAGAGCCACCCATCCTTTGCCAAGTTGCTCGGCCAGTCTAACGGCGACGCTACTGCTGCATCTAGTACCTCTGAAGCACCAAAGCTTACCGCAGCTCCCAAGTCCAGGAAGCGCAAACCTGCAGATGAGGCGTCTGAGGAAACCACAAAGTCCGAACCCGACAGCTCGGAGCCTGACAAGAAGCCAGCCAAGAAGAAGGCTACTACTGCTGCTGCTGCTACTGCTGCTGCGACGAAAAAGGGTCGCGGCCGTCCGAAGAAGCAGGCCAAGATTGAGATTACGGACGAGGAAAACTCCGCTGACGGTGGCGATGGCCGTGGTGAGTTTACAAAGAAGAAAGCCGTACAGCGCTGGCTGCGGAGTACTGACTACGAGTAAGATTCCGAAGTCGATGACGACTAGTCTGGTTTGGTGCGGGAGCTTATGCCCTGTCAGATGCTCTTGATCACTGACTTTGGTACTACTACGCCTGTGCCGTTTGGGGGGTGGTGCTGTGGTAGATGTCCATTGCATAGCGCTTCTCAACGTGCTGTATCTTGACTGATGGACTGTGTCTGGGACTATTTGAGTCCGCGACAGCAGCGCACATGTTCGGGGGGTTTTTCGAACATTGCCTCCATCATCTCACGAGCACGTTTTGGACCCGCGAAAATTGGGGTTAGGGTGGTGTGAACATTCAAGTAGTATCGAGGTTCTGATGTAATTACTTTTCATTTCTTCACCTTTTTCTTTTCAATTCTAGGGAACATCAGACACGGAGGAGACATGTGAAAAGTTCAGTAGTGTAGTCCACGAAATCACAATGATTGAAACAATGAACTTTGTTTCTTCTCATCTATCCAACGTCTACTCCAAATGTGTGTAGGGTATTATGCCTCCCAACTTTTTTCTTCTTCTCTCATATCTACATACTATCAATTGCACAAACAACAAGATCGCATCACGACCCTAATTTCCCTTATTTCCCCTCTTCCCACCCCTCTTCTTCCTCTCCACGTGCCCCAAAAGCGTCTTCTTAACATCACCCAAACTCCTCTTGTTCTTGCTCTTGGCCTTACCCAGCGTCATCAAAAAGTTCTTCTTGCGCGCCTTGTCCTGGTTCGTAGTACTCTTGCCCTCTGCATGTCGCTTCTCCTTGCGCTTGCCTGCCTGCGACATGTGGTTCGTCTCGCGGTCTTGCTTGGCCATTGCAATCTTCTCTTCCTTGGTGTTCTTCTTGCCCAGCGACGCCGCCAGCTCAATCGTTTCGGCCGTAATGGCTTCGTCGGCGTGGCGCGCGGCGAGGAGTTGGGCCCGCTTGTGCGAGGCGAGAGATGAGGTGATTGTTGATGAGGCACGTAGGGCTTGGAGTTGCTTTAGGTCGGCGGGAGTGAGGATGGTCGTGGTGAGAAGTTTGGAAATGGACTTTGCTTCTGGCTCTTCGCTCTTGGAGGCTTCCTTACTGTCGGCTGATGGGCCGGGTGTGGGTGTTGCACTGCCAAGTTTCGCCTTTTTGCTTGGTCGCTCTTTGTTGTCGTCCTTCTCGTCTTCGGAGTCGCTGATTTGGATGTCCTCACCATCGCTTTCGACGTTGATCCACCCTCCTGAATCGTCGCTGTCGCCATCGCTCTCCACCTCCCACTTCTTCCAGTCGTCCTCGTCATCAAGGTCGACATCACCATTGTCTGCATCAGGATCCAGTCCAGCAGCCTCCAACTTCTTCCTACGCTCTTCTTCCTTCCACTTCTCAAGGAGCTCAATTCCTTCGATTTCGCCAATGGCTTCCTCACCATAACGTCGCTCTTTAATTGTACCAGCACGAATGCCCATTGTCGCATCCTTACCACGGTCACGCTTCTTGAGAAGATCGGCACCGACTTCACGGTAAAGAGAGAGGAGACCCTTAGCAGCCATCATTGTGCCCTTGTCCTTTGATTTACGGTACTATTACTGTTAGCTTTCGGCGTAGAGGCAAGTAGGATAGGATAGCACATACCATAACCAAGTCTTGTAGCAATGTGTCTGTCATGGCCAGAGGTTGGCGTACACATATCTCACGAATAGCATTCAATCCTGCGGCAGCGACCTCAGAAGCTGATGCTTCCGACACAAACTCATTTGCAATCTTTTGAACCAGCGGCTCAAGAACATCTGGTGGGACATAGCTATGAGTTGCCTGTGCTAAACACGCAAGGTATGTCGTTACTGAAGCTTGTCGGGGTGTGAGGTGCTTCAAGAAGTACGAATACAACGGCAGGACTGTGAGTTGATGCAATCCGACAAGTCTGGTTACAAGTTGTAGGGCCAGAAGCTTCGTCTCGAGAGCGAGCTTGTTCTTGGAATTCTGAATATGTTTTGAGAAGAGCGTTTCCGCGAAGCCTTGTGGGTCGTGAAGCAAATGTAAAGCGCTAAAGTTCAGTGGGCTATAGAGAATTAGCATTGAACAATCAATCATGGCACTGGGGTACCCACTGTGGCGCATTCTTCTTTTTGTCTTTCTTCTTCATGGTGGCAGCTGCTTGCTTCAGTTCACGCGACTTCTTCTTGGTCTTTTTATTGATGCCAGCTTGGTGCCTTAGTTTGGCCAAGTCCACCTCATTATCTTCATCGCTCTCTTCAGCGGCTGCTTCTCTCTCCTGGTCGCCACCAAGGAAGAACCTGACTCCACCCGCAATGGTCTTCTCGTTATCGCTCAACGCAGCCAATCGCATAACCTCAACTGTCCTTGCGTCAGTCCATATTTGACGCTTCCATAAGTCCCGTGTGATTTTGACGGCCAGGAAACCGCGCGGTGAAGTAGTGTCGGCTTCGAGAAGATTGTACAAAGTTGTCTGCAGCGCTTTGTTGACCTTGTGATTCGTGGCTTTCGCGTTGGACGATCGGACATCTGACACTATTTTCTGGAAGAGCAAAGTTCGAAGGGACTTTGAATTTGTTGTGATGAGGATGGGAAACAGCGTATTGAGGAGGGTGACCGAGTCAATCACTTCCTTGTTCTTAAGCAAGCAGATGGCACCCACGACCTTGTCGCGCAGATCCATCTCAAGAACTTCATGGTGTGTGGACAACAGATCTATGAGACTCTGGGGGAATTCAGGTAGGGTCAGATCAGGGTATAGATTCGCCGTATGCGATACAAATTCTATGAGACTTGAGAAACAAAGTCAGCGTTCTGCCCCACGCAGCATCCATGTGGTAGACATACTCTTTCAGTGCGACCAGACCTCCATCCGTAGTTGAAGGATCCGCAAGGAACAAATCAAGCAGCGTCCGATACTGCTGGTACTGTTGCTCAAAGTCGTCCCTATAAGATTGGGGATCCCTCTTCAGCTTGAATCTGAGCGCGGCATGGTCAGACTCGAGCTTCTCCAAAGCGCCAACTTTGCGCTTCATAGTAGTGGGCCGAGGTTGGTCGGTGGACGGGCTGACGGTGAGTTCTTGCAGGCAAAACTTCACTCGGGTCGGGAAAGAGGTTTAAAATGGGTCGACAGTCTCGTATGGCAAGCAATGTGTACTGGACAATGTCGTTCACTCGCGTCGCCGTTGCGCCTCGTTGACTTTGCGACATAGAATTTTAGTGGGGCCATGCCACCAATTGGCTGGGTCGGGCCGACACTGGATCCGGGGAGCTTTGGCCTCCTTCACCGTAAAGATTTCACGATGCTCGACAGCCTGCGCCAGCTTTCTCCCGCCGCGCAGTTTCAACTGGCGCGCACCCACTCTTCGACAAGCTCTGCCTGAATCTTGTATTGAACATCCTGGTTCGAGGCCAGCTTCTGCATCCTTGAACGACAGACACGGCAGCACTACTGGGGCCAGCGCCCGCCGTCGCCCACCATGACTAGCTTCTCTTCCATGTCGCTGTACGCCTTAACGGTGAAGCAGCCCACAGCGACACAGGATGCCATTTCTGGTGACTTCCTCGGAAATGGCAAGCAGCAGATCCTTACTGCAAGCGGCTCCCGGCTGGCCATCCTCGAGGTTTCGCGGCGGCAAAAGGGCTTCCAAGAGCTCTACTCGCAAGATGTATTTGGCATCATCCGTCGTATTGCCAAGTTCAGGATTGCGGGCGGCACCAAAGGTATGTCGGCCCCCCTTCCCCGCTACAAGCAGTATAGTGATTTTCAAAGCACACGACACCTTCGAGCTCGCCGCTCCCTGAGCCCGCGGTGGACTGGACTGCGTTTCCTACTAAGAAAGAAGCCTTGCTGACTCTGTAAGACCACATTGTCATAACCACCGACTCTGGACGTTTGGTTACATACGAGTACCTTCCTGATGAGCACACCTTCAAGACGCTTCACTTCGAGACATTCGGCAAGTCTGGAATACGACGTGTCGTGCCAGGCGAGTACCTGGCAGCCGACCCGAAAGGGCGCGCTATCATGATTGCCTCGACGGAGAAGAATAAGCTGGTCTACATCCTCACCCGAAGTGGTCAGACCGACATTGCCATCTCCTCTCCACTAGAGGCGCACAAGCCCCAGACACTTGTCTATTGTCTTATCGGTCTCGACGTTGGCTACGATAACCCCATGTTTGCAACGCTCGAAGTAGATTACTCGAATTCCGAGACTGATCCCACGGGCGAGGCTTACGAGGAGATCAAGAAAGAGCTTGTATACTACGAGCTAGATCTAGGTCTAAACCACATTGTACGAAAGTGGTCAGAGCCTGTCGATCGCACAGCAAATACTCTCTTCCGGGTACCCGGAGGCCCAAGTGCACCAAGTGGTGTATTATGCTGCGGAGAGGACAGCATCACATACCGTCGCATCTTCAACAACAAGTCAAGCGTCCGTCGCCTGGCAATTCCACGCCGCGAGGGCGCTACTGAAGACCCCAACCGGAAGCGTATGATTGTTTCTGGTACTCTATACTCTCTAAAAGGCGGCGACTTCTTCTATCTTCTACAGACAGAGGATGGTGACGTCTTCAAGCTTACCGTTGATGCTCCCAATGGCACGGTCGAGAATATCAAGATCAAGTACTTTGATACCATTCCTATAACGACAAGTATTTGCATTCTCCGGGCGGGTTTCGTCTATGCTGCGTGCGAGTCTGGAGACCGCATTTTGTATGAACTGGAGTCCCTGGGCGACGAGACTGATGACCCAGTCTTTGAAAGCAGTCAGTTTCCCGTTGACCCGGAGGCCTCGTTTGCACCTCCGTTCTTCCGTCCTCGCACTCTGGTCAATCTCACTGCGGTAGAGGCTATGCAAAGTCTTAACCCGATTATGGATATGGAAGTTGCCAACCCTGCATTGGAAGATGCGCCTCAGATATACACAATCAACGGTACAGGTGGCCGAAGTTCTTTCCGCACCACGAGGAATGCATTAGAGGTCTTGGATCTCATCGAGTCTCCTCTACCACAGAACGCTTCCGATGTATGGACAACGAAGCTGACCAGCGAAGACGAGACGGACACACTCATTGTCCTTTGCCTCCACAGCAGAACACTCGTCTTGAAGATTGGCGACGATGTTGAGGAAGCCTCTAACACTGGTTTCCTACCAGATACGAACACCCTTGGCGTGCAGCAGTTTGGCGAGGATTGCATCATCCAAATCCACCCCAAGGGCATCCGTCACATTCAGGGGATCCAATTTCCCAATGACGATGCGAGCGCGACGCACGCTAGCCTGACTGATTGGCAGCCTCCCGCCCACCGCACCATTGTAGCTTGTGCAACCAACAACCGCCAAGTCGCAATCGGCCTCAGCTCTGGTCAGATTCTGTACTTTGAGTGTGATTCTGATGGTTCTCTTGCCATGGCTGAAGAAGAGATCAACTTAGACAGCACCATCAGCTGCCTTGCGATGCCTGATGTCCCAGAGGGTAGCGTACGAGCCTTCTTCCTGGCTGTTGGATGCAGTGACCAAACGGTCAGGATCTTCAATTTGAGTCCTGATATGGAGGGCAACATCTTGCGAAGCATCTCTGTCCAAGCACTTACATCACCCCCAAGCGATTTGACCATCAACCTTATGACGGACAAGTCATCCCGTGGGTACAGCCAATTCCTTCACATTGGCCTGCGAAGTGGCGTGTACATTCGATCAGTACTGGATGAGATGACTGGTGATATTGGTGAGACCCGGAGACGTTTCCTTGGCCCTGAGCCTATCAAATTTGCAAAGGTCACTGTTGCCGGTGAGCCCGCCATTCTGGCCATGACTTCGCGGCCATGGCTAGGCTACACTCATCCTCGCACCGCAGTCTTGCAGCTTACGCCACTGAACTACATCTCATTCAAGTCTGCATGGAACTTTGATGGCTCACAGTTCAAGGGAATCATCTGCGTGAGCGCTAATGAGTTACGGTAAGCAAAACCCCTCTTTTCCTCCATGATTGCGATGATGAAACCTTGTACACCTTAAACACGATGAGGGTTCAAACCTTTTGGTTCCAATTGTTCCTACTGAATGCAGTCACCCGCTCAGCATTGTTATATTGGTCAGCTTGGAGAATAGTTGCTAACTACGCTAGAATTTTCACGTTCAACGATTTGACGGACAATACCACTTATGAGAGTATACCACTGAAGTACACCCCTAGGAAGATGGTCGGGTACCATGACCAGGGCGTGTTCTACGTAATTCAGAGCGACAACAACACCATTAGTGCTGATCGAAGACAACAGCTAATTGCGCAAAGCGGTGGAAAGAAGGAGGATGGCACCAATGGCTCAATGGAGACTGAGCAATCCAATGGTGCAACTGACAGCGACGAATTCCCTGCAGTAGACTTTGGTTATCCAAGGGCTCAGGGCAGTTGGGCATCTTGCATCCAAGTAGTCGATCCTGTCACCGAGAAGACGGTCACTCACACGATCGAAGTCAATGGCAATACATCCCTTGTCAGTGCCGCTCTAGTTTTCTTTGAGAGCCGTAATGATGAAGCGTTCCTTGCTGTTGGTACTGCAAAAGATCTGAGCTTCCAACCATACAAGTTCTCGTCTGCCTCGATCCAGATATACAAGATCAACCCAACTGGCCGCGAGCTGGAGTTCTTCCACGAAACCACTGTTAGCGATCCACCTCTCGCATTACTGGCTTTCAAGGGCAAGTTGCTCGCTGGTGTCGGACGTCACCTATGTCTTTATGATTGTGGTATGAAGTCAGTCCTACGCAAAGCTCAGGCACCCAACTGTGTACCGACGCGCATCACGGGTCTCAAGACGCAGGGTAGCCGATTGGTCGTTTCTGACCAAGCACAGTCAGTCACGTACGTCGTGCATAAAGACCAGGTTCACCCCAATCGCCTGATCCCTTTCGTCGATGACACCGTCGCTCGGCATACCACGGCCTCCGAGATGCTAGACTATGATACCACCGTGGGCGGTGACAAGTTCGGCAACATCTGGCTTGTGCGCTGCCCACAAAAGGTTTCCGAGTCTTCTGACGAGTCACCAGACGGCTCTGATCTGCTTGTCGACAAGAGCTATCTCGGCGGTACTCCTAATAGGCTTGACCTGATCGCACATTACTTCACCAATGACATCCCGGTGTCAATACAGAAGACAGTCTTGCTATCAGGTGGTGAACGTGTCATTTTCTGGGCTGGTCTCCAAGGCACACTTGGTGCGCTCATCCCCTTTACCTCACGCCGTTCACACAAGATGTTCCAGCAGCTCGAGCTCCAACTTCGCTCTGATGACAAACCACTGTCCGGGCGCGATCATCTCGCTTTCCGTAGCTACTTTGCACCTGTCAAAAGTGTCATTGATGGCGATCTGATTGAACGCTTCCTAGTTCTTCCCCGTGACAAGAGGGAGAGCATTGCTGGTCAAATTACTGGTTCGGAATGGACTCCCAGCCAGATTGATGAGTCCATTTGGACCATGAGGGGCTTGTACGCCTTCTAGAAGACGCAAAGATCTACTTTCAATCTTTGCCTACAATGGCGTTTGGAGCTCTTAGGTTTGGGAAAACATCCGTGCTTTGTCCTGCGCTTATAACGTGCCTTTAGTGAAGCGAGCAGTAATCTGTACTAGTAGATAGGCATGTAGGTCGCAATTGACCAAATGATACCCAGCATATAGCTCTCCGTGTCCTTGGCCTTGGTCTTGGTCAGCGTTGGCAGTGGGGTCTGTGGACGTGACGGGCCTGTCCCGAGAAGGCGGTGGGTACTGTCCTTTCTCGTTCAGAGGATAACAGTGGCAATAGGCGTAAATTTTGTTACGTACTGTGCATACTGAGTAGTGACACAGATACTAGCCATGTTTGTTCGTTATGGCAAACTCCCAATAGGGGCATAATTTCCCATGGTAACCCTTTCGACCACAAGACCAAGATTATTAATACTTGGTTTTCCGATGAAGCCAAGAAACTATGATTACAGCGACATACTTATGCAGGAGGCCGTGTTTTGACGTGGGGCATCGAGTCCAGCTGGGGGTGTGAATGGATGATCTGGAGTACTAAAGTTTGGAAGAAAGCAAGGACCTGATCATGGCCCGAGGCATAGCCATCCAGCCGCAACGCGGCAATTGTCCGTTCCGTAGCTTCTTTTTTTTCGCACTGGAAGACTGAAAAGCCGTTCTTATCTACTCGTGAATCGCCTCTTCAACATCGACAGTTAATCCCCGAAGCTGTTGAAACGAATCCTTCAAATCCCACTACCCAGACCATCGGTTGTTGAATCTGATCCCTGACCCGCTGGAACCTCTGCCCCGGGAATTCGGATCGTCACCGCCCATTCGGACCGAAGAAAACAATACAACACCAGAAGAAGAAGAGCAACAACAACCACAACAACAACCAGCACCAGCAACGAAAAGAACCAAGAAAGAAACTCGAAATCTAGTATTTCCAGACATGGCCGCAACATCAGCAACCAAGTTCCCTGTTGTGCTCGTTACAGTAGCGACGCGCAAGGAGGGAGTCACGCGAGCAGAATTCTACAAGCACAACGAAACCCACTACGCGCCTCTGCTCAAGCAAATAGCAGGAAAAGTGCACCCGCTAGCCTGGAACCGACTGTACCACATCGACGAGTCAGAATTGCCGATAGGGCTATCGCGCGTGCTGATTGGCAGCGACAGCGCCGACGACGTCTTCGACTGGGATTGCAAGGGCGAAATGGTGTTTGTCGACGAGTTGCATTTGCAGCAGTTTATCACGTTTATGCATTCCGAGGAGGCGCTCGTGGTGCTGGCTGAGGAGGAGAAGTTTGCGGATCCGACCAAGACGAAGTTTTTGGTCATGAAGAGGGGTGGGTGTGACATTGCATCGTAAAGGGAGATTGCATGGTAGGTAGTATATGTGTGGAAATTGGATGAGGGGAGGCGCTTTTTTTTTCCCGGTTGTTTCCTCGCGGGTTTTGGGACAAAAGAATTCTTGAGAAAGGTGTTCTTTTGGTTGGACTTTTGGACTTTTTGGCATAAGTCAGCTTTGGCTTTTGGGACTGGGTTTGCTATGCGTGTCTGTGCGTTAATAGTATGTTCGAATAAGTGTGTAAAGTTGAATGCAAGCAGATGGTTGGGATATGGTGTAGGTGGTAAGGCACAACATGTTCAACGGGAATCAATGGCATATGCTTTACAACCAGGATACTGGCACAGTAGGTCCAGTAGCATGCAACACACACACACACATGTCGCCTTTCTTAGTAACGAGTGCAATCAAGATCACGCTGAAATAGCCATAATATCATGAATTTCTGGTTGTAATCATATGATCATAATTCGTGAATCACCGTAAGTGTTGAGTGAAAAAAACGTGTTCATGTCTAATCCCCAGAGACTTGTGAATAAGAGCCCAAGCTGAACACCTGCGCAACTGATCAAAGCAGCCCGTTCAATCCCATATTTCTCGTGCCTTTGGGTCTTACGTTCAAAATGCCATGAATCCCAAAAATACTTGAGGTGCGAAAAGTGCAGCAAGAACCACGGGCTCTAGCTTCTTCCCAGGGGCCAGGTTGCTCAACTCAGCGTATTTCTCTGAACTATACCCGTTGGAACCCGCAATGACCACATCGAAGTCCCATTCTCTGTATCCAATATTCTTGGCGCCTTCGATACGAAGAGGTTCCCCCCACAGTGCGCACTTTATGACTGTTCGGCTCGTAGATTCCCGGCATTCCGGACCAAGCCGTATGGCAGGCGCCCGCTCGAAATAGGTGTTGAAACCCTGGCAGAGTTGGTCGTGGCCAGGTTCCGTGCCCCTGGTATCCGGATCCCTATACGACGTTGCAACGATTGGGCTAGCATCTCGGGTATTCGACTCGTTACTGCTAGGGCCATCGCTAGGCGGATTAGCTAGCTTGCCCCATTCATTGCATCTCCTAGCACACTCGAGTGTATCAAAGGACTTTAGTTCGTAGTGACCGAGGTAATGGCTGCCGACGAACGATCCATTGGCGGAGACAAAGCTTTTGATGTAGCCGGGGGGAATCGGGGCGTTGTCCGCCGCATGGCGTATCTCTGGCGAGTAGTAGAATCCCCGCATGTTGTCGTATTTCGGAATGGGGCCATAACCCGATGGCTGCGCCTCGCAATCACCATAAGTTCCCCGAGTGACTATGGGTGTATGAGCTGGCCCAGTAGATTCAGGAGACATTTGTGGAGTAACTGCCACACTCACTGCGGTGGGAGTTGGGATGCCTACACCTATAGATGCAGCATGTAGCTCGCTATACAACGACTTTTCCTTTAGATGATTCGCCATCTCCATGGTGTTCCAGTAATGAGCGGGCGGCAGCGGCTTCGTCCACTTGGGGAAAGCTGTCACGCTCATTGCGCTGATGTTTGAAGTTGTCGTCATGACGGCGGTGATAGATTTGATGTGAAAGTGTCACCTTTTTTGAGAGACAGCTTTTCATATCCAACTGCCATCGTGGTACGGTAGCGATCCAAACTGTCCGCTCGGCACCAGTGTAACGCAAAACCACTGTTATAGTTCGTCCATGAAGGATATCTGTGAGGTCCGCAGAACATCACACTTACTCTGGGATCTTTTACAATGCACATGATCAAGTTCTGTACCCTAGAATAGCGAAGTTAATGCAGGTTCAGAAGCGAGGCGCATCTTGTCGGTGAAGTCGAATCCGCCCTAGATGAGGAATGGTGCTCCCGGTACAATCTTTACTTGCCTAACCATGAAGAGCCAGCGAATAGTTTACGAGTCTGCACTACACATCTCATCGAGATTTTACAGGCGAAAATCAACAACGAGAGGATGGTCTGATGTCGCGTGTTGTTGCTGATATTGTTGGACGGTCCTCGAGTAAGGAAGTCGCTGCACGCTGGGAGCGCCAACGCGATATTGGTTGCGCGTCCGCGTAGGCCAACCACCAAACACTCGCTCGATTCATCCGAAAGAAAAGAGAATTGTGTCGAATATCAGGAATTGAGGTCAAGGATATCGAACAACTCTCATGTGCGAATATCCGACGTGTTGGCAATAACCCGCATTCCCAAGCCCGTGGTTATCATACGATCGTACGACCTTGACGAACAAAGTCACCCCACCCGCATGCCGGCGCCCCCCGACACGCACCCTCCTCAGTCCCATGTCTCGCCACCCGTACCTTTGCAGTCCTATAATGATAGTCACATATCACCCGACATACTCTCAAGCAGCCAATGACAGTGTGCGTTTCATTTCGAGGTCTCACGACCTGCACCCCTGCCATTCCTATCCCTCGCGCTGGGATGCGCCTAAATCCTTTTCCTGCTTCCTGATTCCGGGCCTTGGATATCACGCAACGCAAAAGATGGGGTCAGCAATGGATGGAATCGGCAGTGCAGAACCATGTAGGCAGATACAACAGGTAATGGACAAATTATTCTCATGAATATAAAGAATATTGGTGTTCTCGCTTTGTGTTACTTTATCCACCAAGGTCACATTCAATCATCTGCATCATCAACAGTGATACACATTACACCTCGCTATCTACCAAAGTCACAAACACCAGTCAAGAAGAAAGACAAAAGTCACATAGACTAGACCGACAAAAGTTTAACGTCACAAAAAACATCCTACATACATACCCTAATCCAACACCAACACCATCAAAACCAATACCACAACCATGCCTGCAGCAGCAAAGTCCTACCTCCCCGCCTTTGCCGCCTTCATGGGTTAGTCTCCCCCCTTCTTCCCCCCCCCCTTCTCCACAATAGCTAACACAACCCACCCAGCCTTCGGCCTAACCTACACCACCGTCGTCGCCTCAAAAGAAGGCGCCGCCGTCGACGGCGCCCGCACCCGCTGGCAACAGCAACACGCACGAGCCCGGTACGCCTTGTCTGGCGGCATGGCGGCGCTGAGCGAGAGCAAGTGAAAAAAAAAGAAGAAGAAGAACAGCGAAATAACCCATTTCTTGGCCGTTGTTTTTTATTTAAGACACGATATGATATTCCCCCCCTTCCAAAAAAAGGGTGCTATCTGATTATTTTTCTTATACTACTACTACTATTACTACTACTACTTTCTTGTCGATATTCAATCTTGATGGGATCAAGGGGATTGGGGGAGGGAGTGAGGGAAAGGGCGTTATAATTGCTTGGTAGCCCTTTTTTTGGGGGGGGGGGGGGGGGTTGGAAAAGATAACAACCCAGGACTCAGGAGTTTTTTTCTTTTTCTCCTTTCTGGTTTAGGTGTTCGATGAAGTGTAATACAACATTACGTTTTTTTGTTTCATGGTTGGAACTATAGTATTGTTGGGATTGTGGAAGAGGGGGGGGGCAGAAAGACGGAATGAGGTGATTGGGGTGAGAACGTGATGAGATTTCCGCATGTGCTTCATGTATGTGCAAGCATCTTGTTCCTATTTGTGACAACTCTTGTGTGTATCAAGTTGGACTACTACCTTGTTCCTTGTATGTCAGGGCTTTCAAGGCCACTAGATGGACTTAGGGCATAACCCTTTCTTATAGTGTCTTCGACCAATTCAAGCCTCAATGCATGGTGTAATATCATCATCATCATCACACACAACTCATTCAACAATACCAAGTGGCTCTTAAATATTTGGTACTATATTTGGATTTCTCGCAAATGTCTACATACATAGCCTCCCACCATGGACAGTCTACGTGTCCCTGTTCCATCTTATCCATCCCCACTTGACCTCGGGGCCAATAAGATATCTACAAGAAAAACCCAATACTGTCAAAACGCCATTCAAAAGGATTGATGTACGCTTGATACCGTTGCGCAGTCGCCGAAATGAACAAAGGAAAATAGCTATGCACGCTCGCTGTGGTTCGACCCAAGTCGCACCTAGACAAAGCCGACTTGGGTATAAAGAGTAACAAAAGGAATCGTCCAATCATGTGTAAACAGTCTAAGAAATGAAGCCACGGGAAATTGTAGGGCTTGGTCGAAGCGTCAAGAAAGTCAAAGTTGAAAAAACGGCCATATGCATTCGCAATAGATTATGAGTCAAACATCGATGTGATGTCGGATATTCTTTGCATGACGGTGCTCATGGCAGCAATCTTCCTTTCTAGACGCTCTGCAAGTCGTGCCTCGTTGGCCTCATTGGAAAGGACGAGTGAGTAGTGTGCAAAAACCTTCTCGGGGTTGGTGAAGAGAACCTCTTGCTCCTCAAGTGGGGCAGAGGTAGCAGTGGTGCGAGCAGGCGAGGAATAGTAGAGATCATACCCGTCATCTTGTTCCTCAGCCTCGTCAAAGGGTGCGGCAGTGGGCTGTGCAGATTGAACAGGGTTCTTGATGACGGGGTAGTCGGCCTTGATCTCCTCAACAGGCGCATCATCTTCAGCATTGAAGATGGCGCTGTATCCCTTACCAGACATAGCCTGGGTGTCGAGAGGGTTGGAGGGACCCTCGGGAAGCTCGGTAACGGCGAAAGCAACAGGCTGTTGGAAGTTGAAGCCGTTGTTGACGTTCCAGTTGGCGTTGGCGTTGTTGGAGTTGTTCAAGTTGAGCATGGCAAAGTCAATCTGGGGTTCAGGTGCCATAGTCATGCTAACTTGGGGGTTCTCGGGCTGCGACATGGCATTGAACTGCGGCTGGGGCTGGAAGGCAGGAGCTGGAGCAGCGGTAACGGCAGCGGAAGAGGTAGGCATGGCAGTCATGGGAGCCTTGATCTGAAGAGACTCATCGCGGGAGAGCTCCTCGAGGAAAGGAGTGAAGGCCTGGTGGCGGAGAAGGCGCTCGATGAATGCGCGCGAGCGGGCGTTCTCCTCCATAAGAAGACGGTTCTGGGCGCGGAGCTCGTTGGCCTCGTTGACCTTCATGGCGACCTCACCTTCAAGTTGGCCAATGTATTCTGAACGACGTTAGCTGAGATTGTATATAGATATATCGATGTTTTATATGCTTACCCTTTCTCCTTGAGCGGAAGGCGCGCGCAGAGACCTTGTTGCGCAATTGACGGCGCTCCTTGGAGCTGAGCTTCTTGCCCTCCTCAGAGGCAAGTAGCCTCTCATCCTCGTCCATATCCTCCTCGTCCTTCTTGGCGCGGATGATGTGGGGGAGCAGACCCTGGTTGTTGTCTTGCATGGATGTTGAGGCGTTTTGGCTATCGGCTCGGATCTGTGCGACAACGCGGGTGATCATCTCTTCAGTGTGGGCGTCACTAAGTGGGCTTGAAGTCTTGCGGCTGGCTTGGCTAGTGGAAGGCAGACGGGACTGGGGTAGTTGCGGTTGCTGTTGCTGCTGTTGCAGGGCTTGCTGTTGCTTCTGGTGGGCCAACTGCTGTGCTCGCTGCTGCTGGGCCTGCGCCTGCGCCTTGGCCATGGCAGCTTGTTGCTGGTGCATACCAGGCCAGACCCTGACGTTGGGTACCTCCTCTTGAGTGATGGCGCTGGGGTCGACAAAGTCGTCTTGGGAGCCTTCGTTGAAGACAAAGCTATTGCTGCGGTAGTCAATGCCCATGTTCATAGGAACTTCCATGGGGAGTCCGCTGTTCCATCCGCTACCGTCCATGATGGAGTCGCCTCCCATCATGGCCATTTCGTCGAGGCCGGAGGAGGAGAAGAGAGAGAAGCCGGTGTTGTAGTTGGGAGCGAGGCCGGCAATGGATCCAGTGGGAAGGCCGGTCTGTTGCTTGAAGCGCTCGTACTCGTGGCTAGGCTTTGCTGGAGTCTGAAGGTCGTCGTCGATGTTGGTGCTGGTCGGGCTGCCCATAGCCGACGTAGCACTCTGTTCACGCTTGAGGGTGGTGGGCTGGGTGGGCGAGGGCATCTGACCAAAGTCGAAGAACTCGTTGGGATCGACGCACTGATTAGATAGGGTGTTGAAGGGCGCCATCGACATGGCCGGTTGAACTGCGGTAGCCATGTTGTTTGTTTGACTACTGGGGAGTCGCGGCTGGGTGTTTGGGCGGCCCTTGGGCAGACCAGGTCGTGTCTTGGGGACGTCGCGGTGCGGGCAGTGGGAAGGGCGACAGGAGCGGTTAGGCTGGCTAGGAGTCGTCGTCAGCTCGTTTCTGGGCCTTGTTCAAGCACGGAAGATGGGAGCCGGAGGGTCCGCACCTTGGGGGAGCGTCTGTGTGCAAAGGGGGTTCTGAAGGGTGGGCGCGCAGATGGAAAGTGTCGACAATAAGAGTTGGGTGAGGGATGGCGGGCGGATGTGGGGAAGGGTCGGAAGGAAAAGCAGGAGAAGAGAGGAGGATGTGTCGAGTTGGCAGGCAGGCAGAAGAGAAGGGAAGGGAATGGGTTGGGTGGGCGAGGGACGGGCGCGGGTCTTGCTTGTGCTGGGGGGCTCCACCGCCCGTCGGGGAGGCGTTTCACAATCGAGGCGGAGTCTCTGGCTGCAAAGCTGCAAATAGCAGGACAAGGCCGGCGCCGGTTGGTCAAGGCCGGGGGCGATCAACGCCTACCAAGCGTTGGCTGCCGCCCTGGTCTGGCGTCTCCTGAGCGCCGGGAACACCCCCCAACGCTCCTTGACGCCACGGCCGAGCACATGGACGATCGGGACGACAGGGACAAGTTGGCAAGCCGGCCCTTGTTGCGCTGCTGCTTGCACACAATCTTTGATACCGACACTCGTCCCATCTGCCCTCGACTCTCGCACACGATATTGCACTAGGCAGCGCTATGCACCCTCGGGCTCGCGGCACCGACACCGACGCTTGGTGCAGCCAATCAGGGGCCGCCATGGTGCACCACCACTGAGGCTGTGCTGTCATCTGGCTCGCGCTAGCCGCTTTGGGCCAGCGTTGCGGCAATTCCTGCTTTGGCAGTCTGGCAGTCAGCCATTTCAGCCAGTCAGCCCGTCAGCCCGTCAGCCAGTCAGCCACACCGGAACGGCATGTCGGCATGTCGTCGCAGCGCTCCAGCCACAGCCATCGCCGCCGTCTGACACGCCAACGCGCGTTTACGCTCATACCGCATATGCGCACTAGTACGTATTGTGCTACGGGTACACAGTATCTACACCCATAGCACATGCACATACAAATACTCGGACATGCTTTACTTCCCGCCCGCTTGCCCGCCCTATAGTCCTTTATCAGCGTGTCAATAGCGCTGGCTCTGGCTCCTTCCCCCATCTGGGCTGTCCGTACGCCACCGTGCATGATTGGATGGCGGCTGCCTAAGCCGCTCGCCGGAACGGGGTGTGTGTGTGGTGCACAACCATACATTGCACTCACACTCTTCGCATGCCCTCCCTACCCGGCTCCAGCGGCGGTCCAGAACTATGTGCAGTACAGTAGTCTGTGTGATAGCAGTCGCAGAAACTTGCGCACCGTCGACGAGTCGCTGGTCTTTGTCATTGGTAGCTCGACAGAGTTGCGAAACGCCCGTCGCCGGTCAACCACGTCGAAGCTGTCACTTTGCTGACTACCGCGCGGAGCTTGCCGTCCAATAGAACCTCACACCTGTCTGCTTGGGCATCTGCACACCCTGGGCCATAGTTTGCCCATGCCATGTCCCCGTCCATCGGCCTCGTCTCAACAACGCTCGACTCGACTCAACTAGACTCCATCAAACTGCCTACTCACTCTTCATGTTTTGCATTTGCACTTGACTGCACTGGCTTCATGGCAGCATGCACTGCGCCACTTGATCCTGCCAACCAACTATTGGATCCTCACATGAGAGCCGATGACGCGGCCTATGTCCAAGTCCATCTGTCGCCATGTACGTGTGGATAAAATTAGGAACAACAAGCCTCGCTCCGACTTCGCGAAGATGAACAGCACCAGGAAGTATGCTGCCACACTCACACGCTAATCCTATACGCCGGCTGACATCCCTCTTGGGCGGCGTAAGGCTATACTTGCCTGCCCGCCTCCATCACACAAGGCTGACATCCTTCTTGGCCGGCCTTATTCCTCCTTCCGCAACCTCCTTCTTGGGAACGTTTCTCGACGGCACCTGCCCTGCAAAAAGCCGAACTCCCCCCCTGACTGTGATCGTCCATGTCGTCATGGCCCATTGGAGTTTCCCTCCGTGGTAACCCCCCTCCCCCCTCCCCCATCTGCACCTTGCAGGAGAGCCTGTCGCTGCATTCCATCATTTTACTCTTCTATTGCTCTGCTCATTTTCTCATTTGCTAATCACCCCCTTCTAGCCCACATGTCCTTCTTCGTCCAACTCCTATTTTTATTTCCCTACATTCCTGTTCCTTGTTCCCCAGAGTCTCTCCGTCTGCGCTATGATAGTGGAACATGGCATATCGTCAAGTTATCCACTTGTCCCTCATATCCAAATTTCGCTCGCCCTGTTCCATGCGCATACTTACTACCAATCAACAACACATATTAACACTGTCCACTCACGCCGCTATCAAAAAGCATATACCTATATCTTGCTAACGGCTATGCTTACGCCCTTTGCCCATTCGGCCCGTATCCAAACCCTAACAGAAGCATGCCCTTCTTCACCCTGAAACCCCTGCAACTCCGTTCCCGAGTGGGATAACCCTCAGCCCGTACAAGTGACAAGACAAGTCTGTTTCACCACCTCCCCCTAGGCCTGTATCAACACCCGTCCTTTGACACCACTACCACTCATGCTGCTCGAAACCCCATCCCCCGAGACAATGTAGGTGCGACACGTGTCTCGTCAAGATGCTCGTATTAACTAGTACACCCTCCACCGGCTCTCACTACTAGTGGCCAACCATCAAATTAATTTGCCTGTGTCAAATTACTAATTAACTCTCTCTCTCTTATTCTTTCCCAGTAACTAAATAGAGAGAGGGGAGAGGGGGGGCGCTTATTACCCTACTGCTACACACTAATATTCCGGTTTACATAACTACTCCAAACTAGTTTTTTTTGGTGATCCCTAATTGCGCGGGTCGAATGACTTGCACTGGAACACGATCAATTGGACTGGACTGCATTTCCAAGGATCTGGCAAAGACGAGCGGGAAGGAAGAGTGAAGGAAAAAAAGAAAAAAGAAAATATTTTCCATCGTCTAGGTGATTGGTCATGTTCGGGACCATAATTAATGCCTCCTATCGTCTGGTCCCCACATCGGAACCCCTGCTATTATGTCATGCGAGCATCTATTGCCCAATCTTTCGGACATCTTTTCTCCTCCGATCTTAAGGTTTCTGGATCCATCGATCTGAAAGACGGGTTGGAACGTTTTTCTTTCTTTCCCGGTATCAATACCGGGAAGTAGCAGCGCTCCTAACTGGGGGATAAGCGGATAAAAGAACGTTTGCAATAAAGGCTTATCAGGATGTCACTGCACAAAGTTTCAATACTGCAACCACCCCCCCCCCAGTATGCTGGTTATGTGCTCGGCTGGAGATGCTGCGTTCTTTGTAATGGAGCAAAACTAAAAAAGCTACTGTCCATCTCACACAGCCTTTCAAGGATTCTGATGATCCCGTAGCTCAGGCTCACGTTCCTTGGACAAGAAACCATGCACATCTTCCTCGACCGCCCCTTCGTCTGACACATGGTGCTGCTGCTGTTGTGCCAACGAAGAAGAGTCTTGACCCTCCCTCTCCACAAAGTGATGTACAACACTGCCACTACTCCTCTGCCTCGCACTCGCCAAGAAATCGCCCATCCCCTCCCCGCCAAGCCCCAGTCTGCTCACCAAGTTACGAAAGGTACTTTCCATATTCCTGTCTCCCAGGATGCCGCCTCTCGCTACGCCCTCGCCTTTGGCGACGTCGCGAACCACGTCACGCGCACGCTCGTAGTCGCCCTCTTGCACCAAGGCTCGCACCACTGCGATCAGCGCACCCCACCCGGGGAGCAGCCCTTGCTTCGACATGCGTGTCAGCACACTCATCATCTTGCCTACCTCGCCATGTAGCGCATATCCTTCTACCAGACGGTCGTAGAGGATGCGGTCGCTTGGCATGCGTGGCGCCGTGAAGAGCAGATTGACAATGTTATCCACCTCGGCCAGATTCGCCGGCTCAGACTGGAAGTAGTGGGTTACCAGCGACGTGTACACGTGGGCTGAGGGTGTCAAATTCCGCTGCGCCATGTGCTCCATGACAGCGCGCACAGCTGTGTCGTTGGCGTATCCTTTGAGCAGCCGGTCAATGGCTGTCGAGTAGACGTGGTCGTTCAGCTTCAACCCGCTGCTTTCGAGGTCGTTCAAGACCGCCAGCACTTTTTCTAATTGCTCCTGCTCAGTCTGCCCGTCAAACACTTGGTTCTCAAACGCGGCGCTCATGAGCATTGTGTGCGTTGCAATGTCGCCCTCAATCCCTTCCTTCTCCATCTGCGATAGAAGTCTCAAAGCAGTCAGTGTGTCCTTGGCCAGTAGGTACAGTCGTATCAAACTGTTGTAGGTAATGGCGTTGGGCTTAATCTGGAAGTTTGTTGCCCACCCAAGAATCTTTTGCACATATGCTACACGTTTCTCGTGGCGCATTGATTCGGGACGTATCTGTACAATGGCCGATATCGCTCCGTTGACAACCTCGATTGAAGGTTTTGTGCACTTGTTCACAGCCTTGCCGGGGCTCTTGTTGGCGCTTTTTTGACCCTTGCCCTGTGTCTTTGTGTTGTTCGTGGCGTATTCTGCTGTGAGCCAACGTTTGCCCATCTCATCCATCGCAGCCAGCGCTTTATCAATTTGTCGCAGCGACATTAGACCGTTGATCCGTGTTGTCCAGGCATAGTTTTCTGGTTCGATACCGCTGTTTACCATCCTTTGCCACATGGTATTGAACCCATTGAGGTCCTTTGCTTTGGCGCACCCATTCAGGAGAGCAACCCACGACTGTACGTCTGGCCTGACGCCATGTGCCATCATGTGGTTCCACACTTCTACCGCACGTTGTGAATTGAAAAGAGTCAAGTAACCGGAAAGGAAGCCATTGTATACCGAGCGGGGAATCGTTGTCTTGTTTCCGCTAAGGTATGTTTCTTGGACCTCTTCCCAGATGCGGTCTAACCTTGGGACCGATGTCATGGTTTGAACGACACGGGCTATGCTCTTCATGTGGAATGCTTCTAGGTTGGTCATCTCATCGGAGGCTTCGCCCTCTTTGCCAAGGGCTACCATGGCCTTTCGGGGCGCTGCCTCAATCCTTGCTCTTACTTCCTGCCGAAAATTGACTGGCAATTGTTTAAATTGGTCCGACATTTGAGTGTGTATGAATACTGTATCCACACGCGACTTAGCAAGTAGCCTTTCAAGAAAACGTAAAAAGGGCGCTGCCTTTTGTTGGATGGCCGGCTCCAGAGCGTCCGAAATGCTGTACAGGTATACAGCACAAAAGCCTAATCCGGGTCTAGTGACATATTTGGGAATATACCTCTGAAACCGTATGTTAAAATCTCTAACGTCGTACACGTCGGGCATTTCCTCAAGAGGTGGCAGAGACCAGTCTTCGCTGATGGCCTCAAGTGCATCGCTTTCTGATCTCATGCATTGGAAGAATAGTCGCCATATAGAAATCAACTCATCAAGCAACAATGGCAAGTTTTGCTGAGAAGTTTCTAAAGCCTGAATCACCTCATGTGTTAGACGGGCTAATGTTGGCCTGACCCAGTATTCGGGGCGAGCGATACCAAGTTGCTGGTATTTGAATAGCACCTGGGTCGGGGTGACTTGCACGCTTTTCCTGCCTACGCAAAACGCTCCCGTGACAGATCCGAGAAGACGGCTGAAAACAAACTCTTGCCTCACTAATTCTCCAGGATAGGTTGGCTCGGTCAGGGCTTTGCATCCTTTCTCTGTATATGTCTTCTCGAACAAATCCCAGGCTCCTCGGACTTGGCCGTTCTCGAGAGCTTCACGGATTGGAGCAGCGTAAGTCAATTTGTCACTTGATGCCTCTGTTCGTCCTGTTTCCTGGTACGTGTCTTCTTGCCCAAAGTCTTCGTATAAAGAGTCGGCTGCTGTACTATCGTCCAATAGACCCGAGTAGCGGCTGAGGCGTACCCGCTGGCTCGTTCTTTGTGGGTATTGTATGTCTGGCTCATCTTGTGTTGTTTTCCGCACAGCCGGTCGCTGTCTTTGCAATGTCACTCGTGTGGTCGATCCACCCTGTACTGAATCCTGTGCAGGGGGTTGCTCTTCCTGAACCGTAGACTCTGCCTTGCCTTCATCTGGCCTAGTATTCGGTCGCGGGCGCAACGAGGTGAATATGGTTCGAGATTGCCATTGAGAATTCCGAGCGATACCGGTGGTTCGGGAAAGACGTGTCCGGCATTGGCGACATACGTATGCGCCCAACATGTTGTCCTGATATGCCTCGAACGGCGGGCGAAGAGAGCCGATACTAAAATTGTGGTCAGTCATTTGAGCAACGAAACTTTTCAGCGTATGTATTCTTCACTTACACAACTGGATCGGATCAGGTCTTCATGCGCGCGGAAAATGAACTCAATGTTTTGACAGACCAATTGGCGACGGCTTGACGTTGCAGCTTCATGGATTTCAAAAAGACGGCCAAAGTTACGCGCGATGCATGGTGAGACTGAGCGGAATAGCGCCGGCCAATGAGACACAATGACGTCTGCACGCCTCACGTGATTGCATGCGTCGTAAAGAACGTCTTCCACCGGACTCAACCTGGCTTTGCTTTTTCGCGGATTCCAGAAGCCGATTTCTTGGTGTAATTACAATTCTTTTGGTTCATATAGTCATGACTACCTTGGTCCCGCGTCAACCCTATTCAAAGGACGAGCTTGAGAAGCTGTATCCAAGAGAGCTCGAGTTGCAGCTTGTACAGATTGTAAGACAGATGATTGTGACTTCCCTTTGCGACTTTACTAATCAGATATAGCTATTACGTCATGGTCAGATTCTCTAACATGGTACAATCGTCCACGCACGCCAGTATTGACACGAGTATCCAGGCGAAAGAAGTCCTGTGTCACCTCGCTTTCAAAACGTAGACAAGCCTTTGATTCCGCACTTCACATGACAATCGCTAACAACAATACCAGACGGGACTCCCAGCATGTATGAGATAGCCACCAAGCAATTCAAAAAGTTTGATCTGACGGTTTCACAGATTGGCCATACTGCAATTCTGCTCGCCAACTGACAAGCGTAATACTCAACACCAAGGATTTCTCGAAATGGGATCAACTCAAATATCGGAGGCGACTAGAGACTTTTGGCATGGACGATGGGCCAGGTAGCAAACCCCTAGCCATCGAAGCAACCATCACTAATAACTCATAGTCATTGCCTCGGGACCCAAGGGCGAGTTTGATGCGATATGCCAACCAGGCGAACTCACGGACAAAGGCCGAGAGACAACACTAGCTCTGGGCGAAAGACTCCGCCATCTCTATATCGATCAGCTCAAGTTCATGCCAGCGCTGATTTCAGATAGCGACATGATCTACTTACGCGCGACGCCTATCCCACGTGCTCTGGAGTCCGTTCAGCAGGCGTTCTGGGGCTTTTACCCGCCCTCAGCAAGAACCTCTGATTTCCCGCCTCCTACCATCATCACTAGGACACCTGCGGATGAGACGCTATATCCCAACGACGCAAGCTGTAGGCGTTTTGCTCAGCTCAGCCGTGCATTTGCACAGCGCGCAGCTGATAGATGGAACGATACGGACGATATGCGTTACCTCTCCAAAGTCCTCTCGAAATGGATGCCTAATGAACAAAATGTCGCTGTTGACTCTCACCCACGGCTCTCGGGTATCATGGACACTCTGAATGCGACTGACGCTCACGGGCCGGAAACCAAGCTCCCCAAGGCATTCTACGATCCCAAAGCCCGTTCGATCATCGATAAGATTGCCGTGGAAGAATGGTACAAGGGCTACACCGAGTCGTCCGAGTACCGTATGCTCGGTATCGGCGGTCTGATGGGCGACATCACCTCCCGCATGGTCGGCAGCGTCGAACGTAACGGAAACTCGGGGATCGTCGAGGTAGGCGGTGTAGATGGCCAGCTAGGCAAAGGCCGAGGCGGCGAAACAAACATCCGCTTTGCCATGTCCGGCTGTCACGATACGACCTTGGCCGGAATGTTGACGTCGCTCGGCGCATTTGAAGGCGAGAACTGGCCGCCCTTCACATCCCATGTCGCCGTCGAGATGTTCAGAAAGCGAGGTGCCAGCACTGTCACCCCGACGCCTCCCCTGCCCGAACAGAACCCACAGCCCCAAAGCCAAAGCTGGTGGTCCTCCCTCTTTGGGAGCACAAAAATCGCTTCAGATGCTAGTCTCGCACCCCAAGGCATTGCGCGAAAGCCCTTGACCGACCTTACGCAGACCCAGCGCGACCAGTTGAACGACTACTACGTGCGAATCAGGTACAACGATAAAATCATGCAGATACCAGGTTGCAAAGCAGCGGGCAAGCATCTCGAAGGCGACACGACCTTCTGCACGCTCGAAGCTTTCAAGGGCATCGTGGACAAATACACGCCCAAGAACTGGAAGGCTGCATGCACCAGTCGTTTGGATCAGCCTGCGTTCCCCGAGAAGCTCGAACCAGCTGGGTACGAATAGATAGATGCCGTGTTGCTAGACATAGAGCATAGAGTTTATTCTTCTTGTTTAGCATACATCATGATATTAGAATTAGTTTAGTCAAGATGACAAATTCTAGAATCTTTTCTTCTTCTCTGGTGTTCTAATAAACCCAGGTCTAACCCCAATTTTCCACTAGATTTTTTCTTTCTGATTGTCTTACAAAACAGACAAGTCGGCATGACTAACAAACCAAGTTCCGTTGTTAGTATCAAGCGTAAGATTATTCTGCACCGTCTTTCCTCCCTTCAAACTACCACTCTCAACAACACCGCCCGCAACGGGACGCTGGAGTTTGTTCTCCCCGCTCTTGACGGTGAAGTTGGCAAGAGGGATCTCCCAGCCATTACGCGTGACTACCGTTGGTAGACCAAAGAATTTGGCTGTGAGCTCATCATGCGAGAAGTGGAGCTCAAAGTAACCGCGGTAGTACAAGTCTTGCCATTGCAGCTCCTGGTTTGCCGACTGAATAATGGACGAGTAGTTGTTTGCGGTTGCAAGGGAGATGTTTGCACCATAAGGGCAGGGCGAAGTTACAGCCGAGCCAGCGAATTCAACGCCGATGCTGCCGGCGCCAGTGGTGGGATCGTAGTTCTTTTCGTCAAGCCAGATGAGATCGCTGACCCAGGAAGCGTGGCTATCTCCAGCGAGGAAAATGTTGTTGTTGATGTTGTTGCTGTAGAGATGGTTCAGCGTGCGGTTCTTGTTGGCGAGATATCCGTCCCATGCATCGTAGTTGAGTGGGTTCTCCTCGCCGTATGCCGCGGACTGGTTGAGGCGCGAGAAGACGATCTGAGAGCCAACAACGCGCCATGTTGCGCCGCGTTTGGCCGAATGCGAGAGACTGCGGTAGAACCAGTTCTCCTGGTTGGCGCCCATGAGAGAGCGGCCGGCGTCGTTGGAGATCTCGTGGATGTAGTCAGTGTTCCAATAGAGGTCGGTTATGGAGCGATCGTATTGGCGTGTGTCGAGCATGATCAAATCGACCAGTTTGCCAATGGAAAAGGACCGCCAAATACGCAGGTTATCATCCATGTCAACCTGGCGAATAGGCATCCATTCGAAGTAGGCGCGAACTGCGTTCATTTTGCGCTGATCGACGGAAACGCCCCCGTCGTGAATAAAGGAGTCTTCAGTGTTGTTGAGTTTGGAACTGCCGTCACGATACTGTTGATTGTTAAATTAAGTTTGGTAAAGAAGAGAGAACGAGCATACCGTGTTATCGGCTACTTCATGATCGTCCCAAACCGGGATCCATGCGAATTCCTGGTGGCTAGCAACAAGATCCAAATCGGTGCGGTAGGTTGCAAGTCGCTTGCGGTAATCGTACAAAGTGTAGATGTCACGGTCTGGTTGGGGAATACGGCCAATGCTGTTACCCCAGCCATACTCGCCGTTCTTGTACTCGTAAATGTAGTCTCCAAGGTGAACGACGTAATCAACAGAGTCCTGTAGCACAATTAGTTCAGGGCAGGTTCGACTCGAAAAGTAGTATCGCATACCTTTCGCACGGGGTTACCGTAGGCATTGAAGAAGCCAAATGGATAGTTTGAGCAGCTGTATATAGCAAGCCTGACATCAGTGATGTCGTCGTCGGCATTTGGCGTGGTCTTGGTGCGGCCAAGAGGGCTCTTATTGTCCGAATTGCATACATTGAACTGGTAGTAATACGTGCTGAATGGCTTCAAGTTCTTGGCCTCGACCTTGACCGTAAAATCAACATCCGAGCTGGTGTATACTTTGCCCGAGTCCACCGTCGACGAGCATTCCTTGTCCTCGTAGACCTTGTATTCCACGCAAATTGGCGACTTGGACACCTGTACATACTTTTCGTTGTCGTGGTCGAAAAGAGGTGCGTAGCCTGTAACTGTAACATTGGATTGCGAGTTGTCGTTTTGAGGCGCAACGCGTGTCCAGAGAATGACGCTGTTTGGGTATGGGTCTCCCGAGGCAATGCCATGGGTGAAGTTTAAGCTGGAAGGTTCATATGCGGATGCTGGATCATTCCTCTTGGCCACCTTGTGGATTGAGATTCCAAGAGCCGGGTGGTGTTCCGAAGGTGAGCGGTAATTCAGATTCTTGGACCAGCTGGCGCTAGCAACGGATGCCAGCGGCAGCAACGAAAGGAATTGAAGCTTCATGTTGAAAAACGTCCCTTGTACCTTAGGAGAGTACCGCTCAAGCTTGGGGGATCAAGCATTTTGGACGTCCATAGCCTTTTTGTAGCTTTCCATGACGTTGGATTCCGGGTTACCGGGGAGCTAGCCCTGCAAGTTTCTCCAATACTACTGCATGGCCCGCGGGAACAAGTATTGATGGGATGCAAAATCCCAATCACAGTTCGTGTACCTGGCATGCTGCGGCATTTGGGGCGCCGACACGGGAGAAACGATGGATGACAACGCGGCGGACATGGCAATGAAGGATAGTCGAAGAGGATGAGATCGTCATCGAGCATAATCATGCCAACGTTCATTCGATAGCGATGCCGGGGTACAGTACGTCTGCAGAACAGCGTTGCTTAGTTGAGGACATGTGCGTTGACAGGCCAATGCTATTGGCTGCAAGGAGACGGACGGGCGAACGTGCTCGGCAACCAAAGCTTGTCAGTAACATGGCATGGTGCACTGACATGCACTAATGCAGAAGGTGCTGTAGAAGCTCACCCCTGGCAATATGATTGTGTGTTAAGACACTTACACAATGTAAGAGAAAGCTAGTTGCTATGAGCAATTTTTGAGTATGTTCATTCGAATGAATAAAGAAAGGGACAAGTCGACGTGGTCCAAGATAAGATAGTCCTATCAGTATATACAAAGACCAAAGTCCCATACTCCACCACAACGAAAAGATATGTACAAGAATTTCTCAGCATCCATGCGCTCAGTGCTCAGATCTGACAAGATATCTAGTTCTCGGCTAAGCTGAATGCGCTGGTAACCAACTTGGCATTGCTACCAGAGAAAGGCTCAGTACCAGCACCAGCGCTAATCAGAATCTGACTGCTGGGAAGGCCTTGCTTGGAAGTAAGATACTTGATAAAGTCCATGAGGTCTCCACTGAAATTTTGGACTTGTTTCTCAGCGACGAAGCTGAACACGTTCATCTGGCCGTTCTTGCCATTGTACAATTTCCAGCTGTTACCTGCAAGAGTAACGGTAGCGATAGGGCTGCCAGTAGCGGAGATGGGACCAGCGCCGCCAATGGCAGCAAGCCAGATCATAACTTCGTATTCCTCGCTGCCGGTCGGTGTGCTCGAGGTGAAGAGGTCGTAGGCTACGTCTGCGATGATGTTGCTGCCGGTGTATGTCCACTTCCAGACTGAAGGGAGGGACTTGATCGACGCAAGAGACTTCTTGTTGATCTTTGTTACTACATTGGCAAAGGATTTGACCTTTCCCTGACTATTGGTCCGGTTAGACACGCAATGCTAATATGAATAAGGGTGTAACGAACCCGCCAGCCCATGACCACGAGGTATGCCATTTGAGCGTGTTGCCGCTGAGACCATCAACTCCAGTGCATTGAGATCCGGAAGTAGCATCAGCCTTGCCCCAAAGGTTATTGTACGTGGTGTAGGGGCCATTGACTTGAGAGCCCCACTGATCACAGAAGTCTGCGCGCTTCTGAATAGGGGACGCAGGCACCGCAAGGGCAAGGGATGCCGAGCTTACAGCAAGGAATGTAGAAAATTTCATGGTTGACAAGAGTGTGTTGTTGAAGGAAAGGGTGGAGAAGCGTGGTCCGAAGTCACCAACTTCGAGCGAATCGCTGACCCTTAAGTATTTTAATTGTGCAAAGACGCGTACGACCAGCGAGATGAAGGGTGGAGCAGGCAGATACGGGAAACCCTGTACAGAAACCGCCGACCGACGTTTCGGCGCAGATGTAAGTATACGTCAAGGGAGCTATTCTAGAACAAGCAGTTTCTCCTCAAGACGTTCAATGATTGGCCCGTAAACACGTCGATCATGTTAAATAGGCGGGGGTCCTGTTCTAGACATTGGTGGGGAATTGGCCTGGCTTTGGCTTTGGAATAGCCGACGGAAGAAATTCACAAAGTGGTCGCATGCTTTTCTCCCAACATGATCAGCATTCCCCATGTACCCCATAGCCGGTAACACCATGCTTTCATTCGAAACACGGTGCCTCTACCCGTTCCGTACATGGCGTTTGCGCTAGTCGTGCCCCACGTGTGAAACAAATCGCCGGTGCTTAATTGAATGCCAATTTAAATGCCAATAGCGCCATGGAAGTAAAGCCATAATTCTCCGGCGCAGATGCAACAATAATCCTGTTGATAGTATTTAACAAGCTTTTTTTCAGTCTGTGCGGATGAAAGCTTGCTCCACTATAAGTGAGTCTAAATAGTCCATGTCGTCTGGGCGGCTGGTGTCACAGAACGATCTTAATGTGGGCTACACATATGACAAGTCAGCAAATGGCGCTTGCTCGGATAAGACCTAGTAATCCGCTTACCGTGCCCATGTCGCCCTTCCTGTCAATCTTCCATTCATTTCCTGAAAGCCGCACCTCATGTTGAACATAGAATGGCTCTGGTCTCGAAACTTGCCAAAATGCCGTGAGATGACGAGTGATCTTGGTCAATTTTGGGCTCACGTCAGGCGTAATAGGTGCATCAAGCCATGGCTGCATGTTCTCCCATTTTCGTTCCGGCAAGTCCCACCTTGCCCCCTCTGATGCTTGCATGAGCACATCTACACTGAGTTCTTCAACATTAGGGAAGTAATCAAGCACACTTTTGATGGCTAGTGTGGCGGCATCTGGCTTGGCTGCTTCATCTGCATTGATGCGAGGGTTTCCGTACTTGTCAACAAGAAGCTGAGGACCGCCGTTCCACCACTCATACCCAGGCCAGAGAATGAGCTTCAGCTTTTTCGTCTTGTCCATCATTGGTAAGAGTCCTAGAAATCGAGGTGATAAATGCTTGTGATCGCGTACCGGAATGTAATACCCGT